GTCAGCATGGTGTATGAAACTGTTTTATAATAATTAGGTGTTTCCTTACCTTTCAACAGCTCCTTTCTATTAATTCCTAGGAAATCTTTATAATATAATAATAAAATAACTGTCATGTTAAATAATTACATGGAAAAATGATAAATTGTTTTAAATTTATTTTTCAAAAATTATGTAAACATGTACAATTCAATGTCTCTATTTCTTACAAATTTTTTTCCTTTTCACAATCACTTTACAACTTTGTAGCAATGATTTTAGAAATAAACTAGCAATGTCATCCTTTGGGGAACGTGACCTAACATTTTAAAATAAGTGAGGTATGTGGCAAATGTAAAGAACTGTACTTGTACTCCTGCTTTAAAAAACAAAGTAGTCAAAATTTTCCAAACAAGTTCATCATTTTTCTTCAAATAAGGGAAAAGGAAAAAAAAAACACATAAAAATCATAATGTGGTTTTAATATGCTTCTGGAAAAAAGATAACTATATTTTATCTTTTAAGATGGTTTTTCAAAGTACCATCTCACTGAACTAAAAATTGTGAGGACAATGCCTATGAACTTTACGCACACATGCAACCAAGAGAAGGAGACCAGAACAAACTCCAGGGAAAGTCTGTCAGCCACAGCATTCACCAAGGAAAGCCGCACTTAATGAAAAATTTAAAACAGACTCATGATAATGATTAAAAGGTATATAAGGATAAAAATTAGGTATGACTGATATCTAAAAGTCTGAAATATTTAAAATGTTTTTAAAGTTCAGTAAAGCTGAACGTTCACACATTTTAAGATGTTGAATGTGCTGCTACTACTGTCTATTCATCTAGACACCAAAGCATCAGTGAGTGAACTCACAATACCCATGACAATGATCAGTATTACTATCATGAATTATCCTTAGACTTCAAAAACTTAAGTCTTCCTTAATATGTTATTTTTATAGTTTCAATATAAAAGTGATCTAAATGAAATAAAATAACAAGTTTTTCTTTGTGATAATTTTAAATGTATATAAATGATCAATTGTCATATGAACATTTTTTTATATATAAAGTGTTAAATCAAGCTACGAAATAGCATCTTACTATAAAATAAATCTTTAAGATAATAAATAGAAAAGTAATATATTATCATCTCACATAGACAAACAACCTAATTTCTTACCAATCATACTTACTTTTCATGAAAGGGCATTCACATGCATGAATACACATAGCACATACTTAATTCCTTCAAGTCATTTTGCCTTCACTCAAACAAACCAAATGTGAAAAGTTTTAAAATCCCTTCTTTTTAAGTATCAGAGACAAAATTAAATTAAAGTTGGTTTCTACTGCACCTTGAAGCGACAATGCAACAACACTGCCATCTAGTGTTCGTAAACATAAGAACTTCAGTACAAATGGACTTAGAACACTACTGTGTTTAAGTTAATTTTACATTGGTGGGTAAGTGTACATTTGACAGATGGATAAAAGGAGAAAGAAAAACAGAGCAGGGCATTGAGAATCACTGCCAACCAAATGAAAGGGGAATGTGAGACAATCTCCTTTGGGATGTGATTCCCACCCTCCAGATTTTATTCTTCAATATAGCACAGTTTTTCTTTTCTTGGATAATCTATTGACCAAGCAAAAGTAAAGATCAAATCCTTAAGTTTAGGTATATCTATCCCCATGTTTTCTTCCACCTTTTATATCTTAATAGTTGGAATGACCAAGTTACTAAAAGATTTTATAAACAAACATTCATTTATATGCTTTAAATATTGTAAACACCAAGTGTTAATGAGAAGAAATAACAAAAAGGTCAACAACTTTCACTGCCAAGAACAGTGAAACAATTTTACTTCTTCACAGATAAAATTTTACACACCTTTACACACCTTGGGCAAAGCTGTTTCTAACTACATTAGTACCAGTAATGTACACACAAAGAACATTTAGTAAATATCTACATCAGAAACCTCTGTTTGTAACTGTCTTATTTTTCCTTAGAGAGTCAAATTTTGAAGAGTCTATTTCTAAACAAATAAGATGCCCTAGGAACTAGAGGCACAGTCCACGAAGACTGTGTGGGAGGTAGGTGGGGGTGGCACTCGGAACAGTAATACTAGCACTAGTGTTACACTGATGGCCACAGGGACCACTACTATTATGAGACAGCCACATCCACTGCCAACCAAGCTCCTACAGGTGACATTGTTTAGCTTTTGCTTAGTTCCAGAACTTTGTCCTACTTTCCTCTCTCTCTACATCTTTAAACTGCATCCATTCCTAATGTTTTTCTTTTGCAAATGAAACTGATTTCATTACGTTTCCTTTTTACACAATGACTATTAAGTAAATTAGAAATACTAAACAACAACAACAACAAAACAACTTGGCTCATTCTTTCCAGGCAAGCTCCATTCTGCACCTTAGCTGCCACGTCTTTCTTACAGCCTGCCCAATGAAGAAGTAATCATTGTCTTCTTAAAGCCTCTTAAAAGCAGTATCAAGTATTCGTTTACAACCTTTTAATACTATTTTTATGTAACAACCCCCCCTCCCCCGCAACAAATAAGCTGCAAACTCCCAAAAGGAAATTTCTAAAAAAAAAAAAAATCACCCTTAATTATCCTTGTTTGCTTCTCAAAAGGGTATTTTGGGGGCATCTAAGAATTATAATCACATACACTGTCAAGTTGTTTCTTTTCTGTTTGGAAGTCATCTTTCTCTAACTTCTCTTCAATACAAGCTGAATCTGTTTAAAGATAGTAGCTCCTGATGTCCAGTTACCGTCGCAGTAGAAACAAACAGAAACCATGTGGCTATACGCCGAAAGTCACTAGCAGTAATGGAAACTGGACCCGTGGTGACACTCGGAACTCAGATGGAAAGGGGGACAACACAGCAAGGTCTTGTCTCCACAGAAGAATCAAGCAGCAAGGTATAACACAGTCTTGTGCTTGACTAGATGATGATCAGAATTTCAGACACGGCAAGTTTTAAAATTATAGGGAAAAAATCTCTTTTAACATAGATTAAAACTGAATTAAGATTTTTTTAATTATTGGCACTTGATTATTTATAGAGCATAACTGACTAGAATACCTTTCAACTGCACACTCAATGTACATACTAATATTCTATAGATGCTGACTTTCTAACAATGATATAGATCCAATTTCAAGACTGCTGAGATTACTATCTATTTTTGGTACCTTAAGTCTTATTTAATGAATTAAAAGCTATCATCACATTATATCTGTGATGTAATGACATCTGATTCTGAGATGAGATGTCTGACATCCATTCTGAGATCAAATTTATAGTGACGGACTTATGATGTAAATTTAATTATTTACATATTACCAACTACAAAACAAACTGCTCACTACATATCTGGCATGACTATATTCTGAGATGCCAGTTACATCATTTTGCCTTTAATATTCATAATACATGCCGAGTCTTTCTGAATCATTTAAGAAATCTAAGCCCAGGATTTAGCTCAGTGGTAGAGCGCATGCCTAGCAAGTGCAAAGCCCTGGGTTCGGTCCTCAGCTCTGGAAAAAAAAAAAGAGTCTTTATTTTCAGGCAGCGGTGGCGCACACCTTTAATCCTAGCACTTGGGAGGCAGAGCCAGGCAGATCTCTGAGTTCGAAGCCAGCCTGGTCTACAGAGCGAGATCCAGGACAGGCTCCAAAACTACACAGAGAAACCCTGTCTCAAAAAAACAAAAAAAACCCCAAAAAACAAAAACAAAAAAACCCACAACCTGGGTAGTAGTGGCACACGCCTTTAATCCCTGCACTCGAAAGGCAGAGGCAGGTGGATCTCTGTGAGTTCAAGGCCAGCCTGGTCTACAGAGTGAGATCCAGGAAAGGCACAAAGCTACACAGAGAAATCCTGTCTCGAAAAACCAGAAAAAAAAAAAAGAAAAAGAAAAAGAAATCTAATATGGCTATAGTTATGCAATTTTCTTTAAATGTCAATGGAAAAAAAAGACACCATAACTAGTTAAAATAAAATTTCCAAAACCGAAATCCTCATTTTCTACTTCTGGGTTTATGCTGCCACCTAGTGAAATATTAAAAATTTAGTTATTCTGGAAAACAAACCAAATAACAAAAAGGGCCTATCAGCCTGAAAAGTATATATATGAGAAATAAAGACATTATACATCACTTTCATACACACTTAAAAAGTTTTCATTAAATCATGCTTATATATTATAAGTCATCAATTTAATCAAGACACTTGTTTAACAGCAATGATTTTTAAAATTCCTTTACTAAAAAAAGAAAAAGAACAAGAAACATTAAATTGCTTTTGTCATTAGCTATACTTGTAAATTCTGTGATTACCTCTGGAGAGCTTGTGTTTGGAATTTTCAATACAGCTGCCCCTCAGCATCCTCAGGAGGCTTGGGTGAAGGGCTCCCAGAGATGTCAAAGTTGAGAATGCACAAGCCCCATGTACAAAACAGTATATACTCACAACGAACCTCATCTCCCTATTACTTATAAAACATAACTTAATGTAAGTGCAACAGAAGCAGATATTACACTACTTTTTTTTTTTTTTGGTTTTTAGAGACAGGGTTTCTCTGTGTAGTTTTGGTGCCTGTCCTGGATCCCACTCTGTAGAGCAGGCTGGCCTTGAACTCACAGAGATCCGCCTGGCTCTGCCTCCTGAGTGCTGGGATTAAAGGTGTGCACCACCACTGCCCAGCTACACTACATTTTGTATTGAATAATAACAAGAAAAGTCCTGCACATGCTCAGTACAGAAGCAAGTCATTGTTTTCTTTTTCTGATTATTATTGGTTGAATCAATGAATTCCAAACCATGCCATACAAGGGGCCAACTGTACTTACCAAGAACAGTATTCATTGTCCAGTTAAAATATTAGCATTTACTGAGCAAGCACCTATACCCAGATCTCCACCAACCATACTACCTGAAGAACTGACTGGAAATGGTCACAAAGACCCTAGGATGAGGCCTACCTGGGAAAAGATATTTGCTGCTGGAGCCACTCTGCTGTCCACAATACTGTACAGTATTGCCAATAATCTGTCCAGTGGAAATGGTTTTGGTCCAAGGAGGTGATTGCTTGTCTGTAAAGAGAACATGAAACTTTTTCTTATACCACAACATATGATTTCTACACTATAAATACCCAGTAGTAATATATTTATATTTTTTCTCTCAAACACACTAACAAATTTAACCTACAGTCCTTAAAACATTGCCCGATCTCATGATTATCTTTTGCCATGTTTATTAGCATCCGTTATACACAATAGTGGGTTTCATTATGACATTTTAATACACAGATAATGCATGCTGATCATTTTCACACCCACCCACTACACTCTGTTGTCACCCTCCCAGGCCTGCAGATCCTCTTCTTCCTATCTAGCCTTCCTTTACATCTGTTAATTGTGTTTACCCAGTGAGTTTCATTGTTACTACTTACAGGAGCATAGGCAAGGGGTTACTGGGCATAGGCACCTTACCAGTGGCTACACCACTGAAGAAATGTCTCTCCCTCCTCCAGCAACTATCAATTGTCTATAAATCCCCAGGCAGGGGAGCCAAGACCCCCACCAACTCCATGTTGAAGGGCCCTATCTTGTGCAGATAATGCTGTTATCTTTTATAAATTACTAAAAAAAATTTCTCTGTATCAATAAACATGAAAGAACTCAGCCATTTGCAGTCTTGAGCACTGCTATCCTGCTGCTGATTTTGCCAAATGATTTTTCAAGAAAATGTATAACCAAAACTAAGATTTTTCTTTGTGTGTGTTATTGTTGTGCATGTGTGTGTGTGTGTATGTGTGTGCCTGAATGTGTGCATGTGCACCAGAGAGAGGCATGCAGGTGTCTGCTGAGGTTCATGAGGCATTGGATTCCCTAAACTGGGGTTACAGACAATCTTGAGCACCATCTGGGTTCTGAGAGATGAACCCAAGTGGTCTGCATGAGCACCAAGTGCTCTTAACTGCTGAGCTATCTCTCCAGACCCCCAAACCAGGCTCTTAATTTCTGGACTAGAGTATATACTACTTAATTCCCACCATTCCTCTTCAGACCAATTCCTTGAAAATACACTGCTCAACATTTAGTTGACACAGTTTCAAAAAAGTTAAATACAGTTTAACAAAGTTCGACATAGTTTTAAAAAGATTGATGATTCAAAGTACCATCTTAATTTAGGAAAGTAATGAAACTCTCTCATTAGTGAATAAGTTGCCAGCCTAAAATAATTTAAAATTTATAAAAACTTTAGAGACTATGAATATCATATTCATATGGTATAATCACATGTCAGTAGGAAATCACAATACTTGAAATTCCATTCTATTAGCAGATAATTTTAAAAGCAGGTTAAGAATTTAAGGACTTCCTCTTAACAGTGGAAAGTAAATTGGGAAGTACATGCATGGGAGTACATTTAATATTTAAAAGAAGAATGGCTGTAAGCAAAAAAACCAAAACAAACAAACAAAAAAACTGATCCAAGCACAAAGCACAGCACTCACTTCAGCTATTTACAGCTAAGAGATAGATACAGTTAGAGATTACTTTCCTGTTCTTAAATCTTGTGTGATTCTTCTACCAAATACTTAAAACATTTAGAAATGAACAGAGGTTTAATTACAATAAATATCAACGTAGTCACTACCTAGTTTTATCAAATCCAGATGTTATACACTATATGCAGAGAAACAAACATTGCGTTACTAGTGAGTTACGACCCACTGAACCCTTTCTTCTCATTGTCCCTTTCTGTCCCTGGAATGCATTCCAGTCTAAAACGTGATGCTCTTATTCTCATGCTGGTTTTCACAATGCCAGTTCTTACATATCTACTAGGAGTATACAGACTGTATGACTTTAAATTCCATATCAATTATATTATTTTGAATGCAGCTTTTTACCATATTGCCTTTTCCCTTTAATTGTTTTCTGAGATTTATCCAATTTTAAATGCAGCCCAAATGTATTTTTTATCTTTTCCATTTTTATGACAATATCACTATCACATCTACTTAAGAAAGCCATCACTTCTACAGATATGGTGCAAATGACAATCATGTGCATCTTTCTTTGTACAAGGAGGAAAAGGACACTGCTGGGAGTCTGACAACAGTGCTTTTGTTTTGTTTCCTTCTTCTTGGGCATATAGGAAGACATAGCCATTTTTACAGAATGATAGAGGCCATTTAACTGAGTCCTGGAAAATGGGTAGAAGTGACACCAGGACTTCCAAGAAAGGACTTTTTGAACCACAGGGTCTGTTTCTCCTCGCTCTCATTGTTGTTAACTTCAGAGGCCGCTGTGTTTACCTGACATCACAGTGGATGTAAGAAGCTATCTAACTCATATTCAGTTATAGTCAAGCAAAATTCTGTTGTAGAAGCCACTCAAAAGTTTGGGGATTTGTTTTTTTGTTTTGTTCGGTTTTTTTCTGCAGTGCAGTCTAGCCTTGGCCTTGACCAATATACAAATCTGATTAGATATTGTCACCTACAGAGCAGTCAGGCTGTTTCATACTGATTTATAGTGTCACTTTCACTTAGAATCAAAACTTGTCAGTTTTGTCAATTCAAGAGTGTAAATGTCTCACTGTTGTTATAATTTGCACCTTATTAGTGAAGACAGGAATTATACCATGCTTGTTATTATTCAAGTTTCTTTTTGTATCATTCACTTGTTTTGTGATTTTGTAAAAATAGCCACACATTCTAATCACTTGCCTATGGGTTCAGGAGAGCAGGAAGCACAACTGAAGGCTTTGGTGTAGGCCTAGAACTGGATCCTGGTTCAAACTATAAAAGGTGAGGAAATAACTGAATCTCCTTAAAATCGAAAAGAAGATGGAGCTGAAAAAATTACCCTTGGAATAAAGAATGCAGAGACCAAAGGAAATGAAGAATGCAAATGATTTTGAAAAGGACAATAATGTCAAATGTATCTATCTACTCAATGTCTCAAGAAGACATATTAGATAAAGGGAGAAGTGGCAACATATGACAAGTTAATGTTCAGAGGCAAAACTAACTCAAGATAAAAAGAAATTTAACCCGAGATACACTATAGCACAACTGTAACAATAACAAAGGAAGCAAACTGATGAGCAGTAGAAAATAGAGACATCAAAAAGAAAAAAAAGAGAACAGAGCTTTTCATAGCAGTAAAAGTGAAAGGCAAAAGATAGTAAAGTCTTGCTTCTTAAAGTCCTGAAAACACAGCAGTAATTGAGAAGTGTACACTGACCTGCTTTGAAGATTGAGTGAGAAACAACTCACAGCATTAACAGTGTGGACTTCAGTTCCAAGTTCTCCACCTCTAGCCTAGAGTCGGCAGCAATCTGGGTACACCACATAGCTGGAGCTGTCTACCTTCTAAACACTGTAGGCACTGATTTTAACCTGGACTCACTAACCTACTGTTAAAAAGTACTTGGTGAGTATAATAACTGAGCTTTTCTAGATTCTTCAGATAAAATTAGCACAGTTTTGACTGTGGTTCTAACATCCTTCCATCTGCTTATTGGCCTGAATATCCATCTATTCTGCGAAATCTCATAAATGGCCCAATTGTGATCCCTTTCACACTGGAGAGACAGGGTCTCACTCTGCAGCCCTGGCTGACCTGGACTCTCTATGTAGACCAGGATGGCCTTGAACTCACAAGGATCTCCTGCCTCTGCCTCCTGAATTTGAGTGCTGGGATTAAATCCATCAAAAGGTACACAAACCATAAATAAATTCACTTAAAAACCATTCTTTGTTGAATTCTTGCCATTTATTAGAAACAAGCTAATTTGTATAACTACGAAGTATACTTGTTTACGTAAATTACGTAAATAACTAAATCTTTCCATGCAAGATGTAGAGCAGCTTCAGTGTTCTACCAAGTTGATCAATATTTTGATTTCATGCACATTAGTGCTGAGAACATCACTTTGCAAACACACATCAGAAGTATGCTTAAGGTATTTTCAGAAATTGCTTGAAATTCTGTCCCAAACCCCATCTAAACTTCATTTAACACAAACAAGAAGGTCAAATAGTAATTCTGAAAAATCAAGTATTCAAAATGAAACAATCCAAAGATAAACTAAATTGATACTTATATGCTGAGAAATAATGGTAGAGAAATATTAAAGATTTGTCATTTCCTGTAATTGAGCTATTATATTCTTTAAGAGCAGGAAACTTTATATGTGTAGTAAAAACACTGCAATTCACAACAAACAATTGTCTCAAATCTGAACATAAGTGCTTCGCATAGCATGATGGCATGACCCCTCAGATCATTGCATGTTTGATTTTAAATTAATTTTTGACTGTTGCATGTTTAGAAATCTTTTACTATTGATAGATGAGGTCAAGACCCATAGTTTAAAGAGATTTTACAAGCACTTCCAAGTTTCAAATTGTAGAAATCTCTTTCCTGCTTAAGTGTTTATGGGTTTCCCATTTTTATTTCATCAATGGAATTTTTATAGGTATTTAAGAGGGGAAAAGAAAAAGGTAACTGAGTTTATCCACTGTGTTTAACTAAATATTACAGGGAGAACTTTTCATTAAGTAAGTTATTTAAAAACTCCATCAACTCAGTCTTATCTCTAGCACCGACTTCTTTCAGTTTGCTTTTGAACTACTTAACAAAATACCGTTGCATTAAATGGTAACATTATCAACAGAAAAAGTTCTCATATGCAAATATGATTACACATTTATCCATTTCCTTAATTATCCTAAATTCATAAGTTTCTCTAAATTCAAAAGTTAAGGGAATTTAAAATATAAATACCTTCTCATGTTTCTTTAGAAAGTTGGTTTTCTTGATTTTCCCATGATGCTACAATTAAGGAAAATAATTTTTCAGATTAAGAAGCTTCAACTAGAAAAGGCAATTTGTTGAAAAGATAGCATACATAATGCTAATTATATATATTTATATATATATATGATTTTCAGAAGTTTTATTTTACTTATTATGCTATTACTTATTATTTTACTTCTGATATGTTTTAGGGTGGGCTTAGACTGGATGCAGGATTACTTCTGCACATAAACAAAGGTTATAAAACACAACAGACAATAGTGATAATTCTTAAAAGAATTTGTTACATTGATCTTAGTACTACATATTCACTGCTATAAAAACAGAACTTCCAAAGATAAACAAAAGTACATTCACCACTTAAAGGAGGATGGTAATCCATATACTACACACTGGCTGAAAACACTTGAGCACTCCAGGCTCAATAGTCGGGATGGGGGTTGTCCTTGTCCCCCCAAGACTAGTAACAGATGACGAAACAAAACAACAACAAAGTCTAATTACTAAGTGTTTTCCGTCAGAGAATTAAGCAGGGTTACCTGAGGGCTGGAGTTCAGATGCCCAGAATTTACATAAATGACAGATGGGTGTGGCAGCCTACCTCTAATTCTAACCTTGGAAAGAGACAGGGATGCCCAGAGGAAGCCAGCTAGCCAAACTAACTAGATTGGTAAGCTTAGGCTTGATGAAGAGACCCAAGATGATTTCTAACATCAAACTCTACATGCACGTGCACACATATGCATGATCACCTTGCCCACACATGTGCATACAAACATGAAGATACTCATACACACATGAAAATGGAAAATAAAAAGAATATTGTGAGGGAGTGGAAAGGTTTTAGACTAACAGTTTATTCCCGATTTCCTGTCTTCTGTAAAGCACTGCTTTCTCCCAAATTTCAGACTGTGTGTAGAGCCATTAACGAATAGGTCCTGTGTACTGAGCGATCTCTTAGTCTAACCTGTGTCCCGCAGAAGTTTATAGAGAAATTTCAAAGCAGTCATTCCTTGGTATCCACAGAGGACTGAAGAGCATTCAGACCAAACCAAATACCAATACCAAAATATTCAAGTTCCTCATGAAAAAGTAAGTATGCTAGTTGTATAATATACTCTGCTCTTTGAATCATCTTTAGATTACCTAATATAATTTAAATGCTCTAAAAATAGTTTATATATTATATTATTTATGGAATAATGATGAGAAAAAATGTCTTTACATGTTCAGTACATATGCAATATTTTTGAACCTCGTAAAGACCAACTGTACTGCTGGGATTTTAATAAAAAAAGAAGTATGTTACTATTACCTTAAGGAAGAACCTCCTGTCTGTTCTCGCTGGGTTATAAGAGGCAAGGTATGCAGCAATAAGAATAAACTTAGAGTAATATGGTAGTTCCACATGGGTGTATGCCGAGAGACCTACAGAACAAAACATCCACGACATTATTTATTAGGCTACCAAGAGGTGTTAAGTATACTCTCCAACTTACCTTCTGACGACCATAACTGCGCTCTGTTACTGCTGACCTAGCACCATACTGCTGAACATTATTAATGGCAGACTTTATTCTATTGATCAGCTCTTCCCAATTTAAAGTGTAAGGCCTATTATTTCTTCCCTTTAAGATTATTTTTTCCATTAAACTCTCCCTGAAGGCCTTATATGACTACAACATAGGAAAGTTTCCCTGCACTCCAAGACCCCATGCATGTACTATTATGTCATATGTTAAAAGCTACTTAGATCAAATAATAACCCTACAGACAGACACTTTCCACTGAAGAAGCCATACCTAGCATACTGTTTTTTCTATACCTACAATTCTATGCACATAAGAAAGTGTGTTACACACTAGGAGAACTTACATGCGTATTACTTAAAAATCTTCATAGTAGTTTAAAGCTAGCTAGTCCTCTCGTTTTTTAAATGAATAGACAGCCCAGTATGAAGCCCCACAGGAGGAGCACTGATAAATTATAGCAGCTGTAACTCTAGTCTTTCATCCTTCTCTCCTACAATACACTACTAGAAACCGCTTGTAAAGCGCTCAGAAACCAAGAGGCAAAACAACCTCAACATCATCATATCATACCCTTTCCTAAATAGAAATCTTTAAATTTTTGAAAAGAAAAAATAATATTTTAGACATTTTTAAAAGTAAAATCTGTTCAGTTTGATAAAAATGCAAAATAATACCTTCTTTAAAGAAAACAAAAGCACTTTGAAAGTATATCCACCAAAGAGTATCCCTAAACTGAGCTAATATAAAGTTGGATTTTTATTTCATAAAATTCATGAACTATTACATATTCTAAGTAAAAGTTGTATCATATAATTGGATTATTTAGGTGAAAACTCTAAAAGAAATATTGATTTTTCACATGGCAGAATCCAATCATGATAGAATCTAAGAAAACAAAAAAATGGTATTCAGTTGAAAGAAAATCATTGATGAAAATATCTAGCTTGAAAAGTAAACTCTTTACAAACGCCAACATTAACCACCATGTTTGTCATAGTTTAAACAATGCCCCTGGTCATTCTCAGTACTTTCTTTGATACCTTTTAGCTGTCCTGGGTCTGTGTCATCTTTCTGTAACTTTTCCCACTGGGAACTAAAATAAAATAGAAGAGCAAAAATAGATTGAAAATATAAGAAATCAATATCCTGTAATAAAAAGAGCCCTACAGAATATATCATTTTCATTTATTAAGTCAGAAAATAGAAGAATAATATATACACACAGAATACATGTTTGTATCTGTACAAAATCATTTGATATATATTAACAGTGTAACAAAATACACAATGTTAATTTTTTAATTATCTTTTTTACTCTGATCACAATAAATAAAAACCATCAGCCACTCAGTAAAGCTCCCAACAGTTCCAATCACTGTATTGGATACAACTGTACATTAATTCTAATCTGTGGAATAAGCAACTGAAGTGTGTATGATCAGATCGGAACACTGAGACCCAAAGATTAAGTCCTTCAAGAGCACACAGTCAGACTAATGAATCCATATTTTTCAAGGAAGAAATGGAAGAAAAACCCAAAACTGTACAAGAGGCTAGCAACAGGCGAGAAGGATAAAGAAAGGTGCTTTAGTATACTGTTTTGGGTAACAGTTTTAGCTTTTTATGTACTTGTCTCTCATCTCTTACTGATAGGGCAATATGTTCTCTCCCCTCCCCCCACCGCTCTTGCTTCTTTTTTTTTGAGGGAGGGTGGAGGTGGGGCTCACTAGGTAGCCTTGATTGGCCTGGAATTTACTATATAGACCAGGCTGTCCTCAAACTCACAGAAATCTGTCTGCCTCTGCCACCTTAGTATTGAAATTCAAAGCATGTACCACCAGGCCTGGTCCTCTTGCTATTTTTTTGAAGCTATGTCTCCAGCTTATCAAGCAAGCAATATATACTGGCATATTGTTCTACACTTGTACTTACCTTTATCTTCACTTAGAGATAAAATGAAATTCAATGTTTACTATCAATCTTTTGGCTAGTTTCCCTGGTCATCTCTCTGCCATGTTAAGACTGTCACTAGCAGAGTGCACAGAAATGCCTTATTAATAGTGTTTTCTGTTTAATTATGCTTAACCTGTTTTCTACAGCTTTCATACTTGATTGACAGGTTGAAAAGATACATATTTGGATTCACTTCTCTTTGGCTTTCTTGAAAATGATGATCAATTTTCAGGTTTAATTAACTTTCTTTTGTAAGTGACTTTGTGCTTGAAAGCCTAGAGATGCTTTCCTTTTACTTTTAGTCTAAACAGTTTACAAGTCTCAATAGTAGACTTAATAAGCCTTCTTTCAAAACTGTTAACAAGTAATTGTGTAGACTTATGTGTGCGTGTGTTGGGGGGGGGGGGGGAGTCTTAGCAGATGTGGCCCAGTCAGAAACTGTCTCTTATTCAAGTAGTCCCACTGAGATCAACAAGGAGATGAGGTCAGAGAGAAGAGACAGTGCTTGACTGCTGACTTAACGATAGAGTAACGAGCCACAATATGATGAATACAGCAACTGCTAGAAGCTGTAGAATGCATCCCTATGGACAAGGCTCAGATCTTTAAGACAATACATTGTTTTAAATCTCTGTCTCTGTGGTGATTTATTAGAATGCAGAGTCTCAGAATGGACCATCTGGATCACCTGGGACTATGAACACTTCTGGTGCATGAAAGCAGGCCTTCCATTATTTCCAACATGTTTTCTTTACTTTAGTGTTGAACTTGTTTACAACCCATTGTTTCCTACCTCCATGAGGTCCAACTATACATGCTAAATTTTCTCTATCATGTGAAGAAGGAAAACCTGTATATTTCAGTGTAATTGAAGAACAGCTTAGATATGAAGTTTAAATAGTTTAGAAATTTGATGTATTCTAGAGTTTAGATTTTGGATTAGGGAGTTTAATCAGCAAATTCTATACAAATATTCAAAACCAAAACCAAACCAAAAAGAACTGATGTCTGTAACATACTTTGGATATGAGAGGGCCAGGCAAATATCATGACAGCCTGCCCTAATAACTCATTTCAGAACTAGGCCTCAGTCCCTGCTTTTTGGAACTGAGCAAGCAGTTTCTAAGGAGGAGCCTCGAACAAAGGACAATCAATCTCCAACACTCCCAACAGCAAGGACAAGCCACAGTCAACAAGCTCAAGATGATAACCAAATAAGGACAAAGCCTGGGACTTGTCTAGGCCTGCCCAAAATGGGAAACTATAGCCCTGACCAAACCCTAACTAACCCTAGCCAATTAGAAGCTACTAACATGATTGCCACTTGCATAATCCAATCATATCTAAGATGAACTAGCTTTCTCAGACATTCCCCTTAGTTAGGTTTAAAACAAGCCCTCACTTTCCTCTTGGGGTCTTTGCCATCTTACCTTTGTGTAGGATGGCAGGCCCCAGCATACTGGAATAATAAATGCTCTTGTTGATTGCATACGTGGATGGTGGTCTTTTGTGGGACTTCTCCAGGACCCTACCAGGCTAAGTGATATCTAACATGTTAAACACATAATTACCTTGATATCTCCCTGAGATAAACAGTCTGCATTGCTTTCTTCAGGTGAGGTTCAATATTTCTCCACAGTTTCCGAGTATCACGTTCACCTGCTACTCCCAGGAGAAATTTCAATAATTCAAATCTTGTATAATTTTTCTCCAATGAAATATTAATGATTATAGCTAGTTACCTTCTCCTTTAACTACAGGTTCACAGTATTTGGGAAAATTAAGCACTGCCTATGAATTTAAAAAGAAGACAAAAAAGCAGGAATATATAGTTAGGAATTTTTCACATAAAATTTTTATTACAAATTAAGCCATTTTATTTAAAATCGATTCTTAAGGGTAATTCTAGCTTATTACTACAATAAAACAACAAAAATATCAATAATGGTAATATAACAGCATACACATTACAGCCTAAATCCTACCTAATACATTAAGCTCATATAACATAATAAGGCATAATTTGTACTCTTAGCTATAATGATGTTTAATAGAAACATCAAGGCCAGACAATTAACTGCTGTTTTCCAGCATGTGAATACCATCATAAATTAAGCATCTCCTAATTAAGGATTATTTAAAGTGTTTGCACTGGTTGTTACACATACAAGTTCTTGGCACTATCCCGGGCATACTAAACCAATTAGAGGATAAGACTCAAAATCTACTACATGTTTTAAAAGCTCTCCAGGAATTCTTTGCATTAAGAAGTGTGAGAAGAATTAACGAATCACAACTACTTAATATTTTTCCATACTAGAATCCTACTGAAATGCAGCTTTAGTGAATTGGTAAAGTATGTGCATTTATTAACATTAATCTGATCTCAAGTATTTCATGATGAAAAGATTTAATAATGGAGCCTGGAGAAGAGACAGGCATAATGATAGTATAAATTCAAACTCAGAGGACAACAGTAAGTACTGCAAGTGACTGCAGAGATAAAGGAATAAAAGAGCTATTCACCAACTTCTTGCATTAATTTAGATTTTCAGACCTAAGTACTGAAAAGTAATACTAAGGTATCATGGTAACAAAGCAAGTTAATAGCCCAGCCAAATTCTGCACTGCTCTCCAACATCATGTCCAATTCTCCTACATTTAGTTCTCAAATATCAGCAAATTTCTACTATTTTGTGTTAGAATTTTGTCTTAGTTAATTTTCTATTAATGTGACAAAGCACCACAATCAAGGCAACTGAAAGCAATTAACTTGGGGCAAATCTTTACAGAAGGTTAGTCCATGACCATCATGGTAGGAAGCATGGTGGCAGGCATGGCACTGGATCAGTAGCTGAGAGCTTACATTGTTATCTGCAAGAAGGAAGTAGAGAGAGCCAGTTGGGAATGATGTGGGCTTTTTAGAACCTCAAAGTCTGTTCCCAGTGACAAACCTCTTCCAACAAGACCATACCTCCTAATCCTTTCCAAATAGTTCCAACAACTGGGGACTAAATTTTCAAATATATGAGCCTATGAGGGCCATTCTAATTCAAACCACCACAGATTCACTATAGTATAATAAAAATTCAAACTCACTAGTACCTTAAGCAGGTTTGCTAGGTTCCAAGAAAAACAAAATTATAAGGCTGCTAATAAAAACTACAAAACTGCTCCAAAACCAAGCAAAAAAAATCATTTTAGATTGGTTTTGATATTACAAATTTTCACCATAATTGCACATCTCCTGTGTCCCCATTCCAGTGATCAAGTTTAAGATATTCTTACTAGTTTCATCAATAAATAGGAAAAGTGAAGGATACGGGTGTAACTTTGTTAAGAACTGACAACATGCTCAGTGAACACTCACATTCACAATAGTAAAAGAAGCATAGCATCAGACAACTATCACAGCTCCCTGTTGACTCAATGACTGTTGAAAAGCATACTTCTACTCTGCCGTCCTCAGGCTGAAGGACACAGAAGCAAAGTATACTCTGCCTATAAGCACAAAGGACTCTGTTTACCTAGATTTTAATTGTGAGTCTGTGAGGTAATCTGAGAATTTATTTCTAAATAAAAAAAAAACCAAACCAGAATTGTTCCCATAGTTCCAAAGGAGGGACTTGCATTACTTTAGGTGGTCAAACAATCAATTATAAATACTGACAAGGCCACAAAGGTAGGGCTGGCAAGTTCTTTTCCAACTCTTCCTCAGCGAGATTTCCAGTAAGATTTCATTGTGACAGGCAAGATCATTTGGTGGAAGATAGCCTGACACATGAAAACTGTAGTAAGAATTCTAAGGTGACCCCCAAACTGTCCCTTAGCGCGTCCAAATCTTCCAGGTCAGTCAAATACTAATCTGAATATTACTGTGCAGAGATTTTGCAGATGAAATTAAGATCCCAAAGATTATGCTACTGTAGACTTACACTAGGGCAGACTGTCAGGTGAATCAGAGCTAATCATAGAGGTCAGTGATTACAGGGGAACTCAAGCACATCACTGACTGGTAGATGGAGATGACCAATGTACCTTCTCTAGGAGACCTGAGGGAGCCATTTACCATCCAGTCACCAAGGCCATGAAACTTCATTCTTAAAACCCAAAGGAAGAGATGAATGCACTTAGAAGCAGATGTTTCCCTAGAACCTCAAGGTGAAAAATCCATTCCACACAAAATTTTTAATTTCAGCTTTATCAAACAATGAACAGAGAACCTAGCAACACAGTGGCTGGTTTGTGACCTACAGAATAGTGAGCTAATAAATGTGTGTTATTTGAGATACTAAAAACGGCAATTTCATATGCAGCAATAGAAAACCAACATACATACTGAAGTATAAAAATAAAAACACTCAAGAACCAAGTAGACATAATTCTGAATTGTTTTGCACGTTTAGAATCTCTGTAGCTATTTCTTAAATGCTGAAGGAACAAAAATCAGAAATAAGAACACTTGAATTAACTTGAATTAAATTAATAGAAATTTCTAACAAGCAATAAGTTCTTTCTGTGTTCCACGACTTCCCATTCTAAATGCTTAATGTGTATTAACTCATTCAGTCCCTCAAATTATCCAATGTGATAGGCATGAGTATTGTGCCCACTTTACAGATGATAAAAACTCTGCTTTCAAATGAATCAAATATTAGGACAGATGCACCCCCCCTTCCATGACAATCAACCTATCTTAAAATAGAAATCCAAAGACAGCTAGAAATGAGAAAATAAGCTTAAAGTAACCAAATGTAAAGATATTTCCCCCAACCAAATATGTATTAACTACGAAGGAAAAGATAGCATCCTAATCAATGGTAAAAGGAACATGACTGATTATCAGAACATGACAAAAACAGAACTGACTCCGTGCTACCTGACAGAATGCAAGGAAAATAACAGGACATTTCTGTGATATGTCTATCGATTGTACAGTCTGTACCTAATCAGGACAAATGCAAACTGAGGACTCTACAAATTAACTGGATTGCAATATTTAAAGATCTCCAAATCATGAGAATTAAAAACAAGAGTTGTTTTCAGATGAAAGTAAATTCAAGACTTAACATTATATGCAACGTGTAATTCTGAATTGGATTATTTTGTTCTGGAACATATTCATTCGGACAAGTAACATATGTGGAAAGGGGTCTGAAGACTAGTTTGTAGTGAAAAAATTAATTTTTTTTTTTTTGGTTTTTCGAGACAGGGTTTCTCTGTGTAGCTTTGCGCCTTTCCTGGAACTCGCTTTGGAGACCAGGCTGGCCTCGAACTCACAGAGATCCGCCTGGCTCTGCCTCCCGAGTGCTGGGATTAAAGGCGTGCGCCACCACCGCCCGGCTAATTTTTTTGTGTGTGTGTGTGTTAATGTGTGTGTACACATGAGCGTGCATACATCTATAGAGCAGAGGACAACCCCGGGTATCATTCTTCAGGTACTATCCGCACTTCTTTAGGAGACATGGAACTGGTCAAGCAGGCTACACTGGCTGAGCAGAGGGCCCCAGGGATCTGCATGTCTCTGTCTACCCAGCTCTGGGATTATAAGCATTTGTCATCAATTACAGCTTTTTTGGGGGGCAGGGTAGGGAGGCTGGAGATCAAATTCAGGTCTTCACGATTATAAGTCAAACACTTTATCCAACCTTGGTCTCAACAATTCTCGCTCATATAAACCCTCCTCATTCTCGTTGATTGGACTCCCAGAGATCCACCCAGGGCCTAGTCATGGATCTCTGCATCCAGATCCCTCAGTAGTTGGATGAGGTTTCTAGCACAACAATTAGGGTGTTTGGCCATCCCATCACCAGAGTAGGTCAGTTCGGGCTGTCTCTCGACCATTGCCAGCAGTCTGTTGTGTGGGTATCTTTGTGGATTTCTGTGGGCCTCTCTAGCACTTTGCTTCTTCCTATTCTCATGTGGTCTTCATTTACCATGGTCTCCTATTCCTTGTTCTCCCTCTCTGTTGTTGATCCAGCTGGGATCTCCCGCTCCCCCAAGCTCTCTTTCCCTCGACCCTCGCCTTTCATTACTCAATAGCCAAATGAATGGAAATACATGAACTATGAACCAATGGCTGAGGGGTCCACACTGGATCAGGCCCTCCGAATGGGTGAGACAGTTGATTGGCTTGATCTGTTTGGGAGGCATCCAGGCAGTGGGACCAGATCTTGTGCTCATTGCATGAGTTGGCTGTTTGAAACCTGGGGCCTATGCAGGATTGTTTGGCTTGGCCTGGGAGGAGGGTACTAGACCTACCTGGACTGAGTCTACCAGGTTGACCTCAGTCTGTGGGGAAGGCTTTACCCTGGAGGAGATGGGAATGGGGGGGGGGCGTTGGGGGGAAGGTGAGGGGGGTGGGAGGGGGGGGGAGAACAAGGGAATCCGTGACTGATATGTAGAACTGAATTGTATTGCAAAATAAATTAAAATAAATTAAAAAAAAAAAAATAAGTCAAACACTTTACCAACTGAGCCATCTTGCCAGCTCTCCCCTACCCACAAATCAATTCTCTAATTTGACTGTGGTATTATAGTTAGGTGGCAGTATGTCTCTGTTGGGACACACACACTAAAGTATTCAGAAATAGCAAGGTATCAGGTAAACACTGTCAAGGGGTGAATTCTTTTTCTAAGCTTGCAACTTTTCTATAAATTAAAACCTGCTTTCAAATTTGTAAAATAAAATTTAAAATGACTGAAAACTTTCATTATCTTGTAAAATAATTACAACAAATATTAACATCATCAAATACAGTAGTGAACTACATTTTACTAATAGCTGGTCATCTCTCCATTTTACCAATTATTCTTATTTTGGTACTGAGGTGGCTGTGGCTTGTTCTGCTTCTCTGATAACGGGTCTTAGGTTTGTTTTTATTAATAAGACCCTTTAAGATTAAAATGCTACATCTGGCGCCCAACATTCGTGGTACGAATTCATGAAAAAGCTGCTTGCCTGTGGCCTTGTGAGCCCTAGCTCAGGCCCAAGCTACACTCGGCTGGTTGTGGTGGCACACTGGTTGGATTTGCTGAAGGAGGCAGAGGTAGGAGGATTCTGAGTTTGAGGCCGGCCTAGGAGGCTTCCTAAGGAGAAGCTTCGGCCGGGGCCTAACCACAAACGTTTGTGGTGGGGACCATGGAGGCAGCGGCTGCTGCTCCACATTGCTGGCTCCTTCTCATTGTGTTGGTGACTGCGGTGATGCTGCTACCTGGGACAAAGGGTTTAAAGAATTGCCAAGACCATCATGTTACAAGAAAGCATCGGCAAAGGTCAGTTTGGAAAAGTTTGGCAAGACAAATGGTGGGGAGAAATTGCTGTGAAGATTTTCTCTTCTAGGGAAGAACGTTCATGGTTTCGAGAGACAGACATTTATCAGACTGTGATTGCTTCAAACCACAAAGGAGGCGCACACACACACACACACACACACACACACACACACACACACACACACACACAATTCTGCAGGAAACCATGACCACGCCTCATAGCAACTTTGAAATCTTCAAAAGGATGATGGGACCCCACAACGATGATTCCACAAGGACTATGGTAAAGCCATTAAGCTGAATAACACCATGGAAAGATCGACTTTGGACTGTAAACTACTCAGGACAATTTGAGATGGCTAGCTGAAATGATCCACTGACAGACTACTCGAACAAGGACTTGAAACATGCCCTGCACTTTCTCATTATGCAGCGACTGGACAAATGATACAGGACTTGACAATTAACCCAAAAATTTCTTTTCAGGACTCCCTAAAGATGTCTTTGCCCCTAGAAAGCAGGAAGTAATTTTAAGAAAACTATGCCCATATTCCCAAGAGATGGGGTGGGTATTTTTTGGTCGTTTGAGTTATGGATATTGTCATTGTTTACAATGGTTGGTTACAAGTTGTTAATTGTTAATGGTCAGGAAAAAAGCTGAACATGGAGATTAGATTCAGAGGTTTTGTTTGAAAAAAAAGGAAAAAGAAAGAAGAGAGTATAGATATGAGGTAGAACATTGACTCTACTCTGAGGGAAAAAGATAAAGAAATAGTAGGATAAATGGATAGATCACTGAATCTACTCTAAAAAGAAAAAGAGGAAGATATAAAAATGACAAAAGATAGATTATTGAATCTATTATGAAAAAGAAGAGAGAATATGGATATAAGATAAACAATTGAAACTACTTTTAAAAAGGAACTACTTGTTTTACATAGGCTAAGTAATGAAAATTTTTTTGCCTGAGTTTAAAAAATGTTACTGGACTGGACATTGTTAATATATATAATGGAGTTTTTTGTCTGAATCTGTCAAATGTTAATGTAATTCTTGACTGTATATATTATATACACTTACTGGATATGGTTTTGCTTGTATTAGTTATAAGCTTTTTTAAATTTTAGACAAAAAAGGGAAATGTGGTATTGTGTTCCCCAAAATAGTGTGCAGAACAGCCACTAGATATAGAGGCCAGAAAATGGTGGCATACACACCTTTAATCCTATCACTTGGGAGGCAGAGATCCATTTGGCTATTCTGTGTTTGGCATCTAGATGACTATAAAATAACCCCTTTAGCTGGCTTTTCTAACAATTACAATTACTATTTTTGGACTAACAAATGCATTCTCAGAGAAAGCAAATCTAAGTGAATATTCAAAATATCACTTTATTTTCTCCTGTCTTTGCTGCCTATGTAGGTAGCCTCTAAAACATACTTATACAAATTCCTAAAGCAGATTTAAAAGCACACACAGAAAAAATGCTTGAAAAGGACCTGATATAGGTTACTATGACATTTTCAAGAAATAAACCATTTATAAACTCTGAAACAATTAACAGTACACATCTGATGGAAAATAAATGCTTTGACTCCTTTATGGTCTAGATATATAGGAGAAAAATAAGAACACTTTTGTTTTGTGCTATATTTTCTTCAATGCATAAGGACTTTTTACATTTGTTAACATTACCAGTGGTATAAAGATTTAAAGCATAGTTCAAGTTGATGAATATGATGTTCAGAAAAGTTGTATTGTTATTAAAAATTAACCTCCAGGAAAGCACAAAGAAACTTAAAAACTACCATATTGAAGTATATATTTTCATCCTTTACTTTCTTTTCCTGAAGGTATTTTCCTTGATTTTTTTCCCTCTTGCATAGAGTCCCAGGGGCTAAGGAGTGGCAAACCACAGGTTATTTCCTAGGGAAGCAGAGGAGGAAGGTCTGTCTCCACCCACAGTGTTGGGGTTACAAATGCATATGGTGACACACACTTTACCCCCTCAGTCATCTCCCTTGGCTCCTTAACTGAAGGTGTCTAAAAGGAAACAAGACATTCTTGCCTTCGAAGTTTCACAACTCCAAAAGTAAGTAATGGGAAAAAGCTAAGCACGATCATTTCCCAAACTTCTAGCAAAACACAAACAACTATTCTAGTCTTTTTTCAAAGTTCAAGCCTTTTATACAAAATCACTAACTCAAGATAACTAGCCAATGAAGATCTGTAATTAAAGCTTCTTGCCATACTCAAATGGAAAGCTCCTAGGCCAATCAATAAAACCTGGAGAAAGGTGTTACAAACATTAGCAATGAGATGCTAAATCACTTGTTATCACATATCCCTGCTATTTTTCATTTTTATTTGAATGGATTTTTAGTTTCTGCAACTAGAGATTGATTCAGTAATTAAAAGTACTTGTTGTTTTGAATGCTAACACCGACGTAAGGAGCTGGAGTGGGTGCCACACATACCTGTAACCCAGTAATGAGAAGGGCGGAGAAATGAGGATAACTGGGGCTTCCTCACACCAGCCCAGCAGAAAAACATAAGCTCTAGGTTCCGTGAGAGACCCTTCCTTCAGACAGTAAGTGACAGCAGGACACTAACAGCTTCCTCAAGCCTCTGTGTGCACAACCCCTCACACATGTGCACCAACATAACACACACACACACACACACACACACACACCACACACACACACGCACACACACACACGCACACACACACACACACACACACACACACACACAACAATGAAAACATGTAACTGACAATGAATGCAAATTTTCTCATCAGGTTTAGTATGCACTAACCCACAGATATCAATCCTTGTAAGGTATATTAGCCTCAAAAAGCCTTATCCAAATTTCTGAATATTTTCTCAGCTTCTGGCTTGTCTCAAAATTTTCTGAATGTGAAAATATTAAAGGACATACACATACATGTGTGCACACACACAAAATGCTCACTCACCAGATGTCTGAGCTCTTTCAGATCTCGACAGACAGTGTAGAAAACTCCAAGGAGAATATTAATGTAGGCAGCATAAAAATCAGCTGAATATTCTGGAGGATGATCGTGGGACAGGATCTTTTGAAGGTTCCCTGTTCACAGGACACAAACTCAAATGATCAGCACATAAACATAATCATTATGTTCCAGAATTTCATAAATGTTTTTTAAAAAACCAAATATTTAGGTCCAACTCTATGACAGAATAATATATATTTCTTTTTCTTCATGACACAAAACTTCTTAAATGATGGGTTAAGACCCTCACAAGCATACACTGAGCTACACTAATGAGGTGACCTGACTGGAGCCTCTAGACAGCTTACAGGTTAGCATTCCTCTTTCTTTCTTTCTTTTTTTTTTTCTTTTTCTTTTTTTGGTTTTTTGAGACAGGGCTGCTCTGTGTAACTTTGGAGCCTGTCACCCAGGCTGGACTTGAACTCACAGATATCCGCCTGCCTCTGCCTCCCGAGTGCTGGGATTAAAGGCATGCGCCACCACCGCCCGGTACGTTCCTATTTCTTGACCTTCAGGGAGAAGAGAAAGGCTGAAGGTCAAGTTCATCCCCAAGGGACAACGATTTGGTCAACTATACCAATGTAAAAGAAGCTCCATGAACTTCAGATACAGCACAGACTGGTAAATGAATCCACATGCTGGAAACACACCTCAACTTTGCAAGGAAAGAAGTTTCTAGGCTTGGGACCTCCATGAACCTCAGATAAAATATATCTCTTCATCCAACTGTTCATATCTCTCCTTCTTCTTCTTCCTTTTTAATCTTTTACAATGATCTGACAGTAGTAAATACAGTAGTAAGAAAAAGTACAGTGCTTTCTTGGTTCTGTGAGCCCTACAGGCAAACTGTTAAACCAGAAGACAGGACCATGGGTACCCCAACTTACAGTCAGTTTTCAGAAGTCAGTTCTGCACTGGGAGCTGGCATCTGCAGGAGAAGCAGCTCTGTGTGACAGACACTTAACCTGTAAGGTTTCTATACCAATTTCTGGAAGAAAGTTTCAATGAAATTGGCAAACAATTGTCAAAATGGACAAAGCAATTAAATAATTGGTTATTGGATGGAGAAAAAACAAAACAAAACCCGCAGCATTTGTTATCAGAAGTGTTTTTAGAAGAAATAATCCAGAAAGAGTAAAATAAGTGAAGCTAAAAAAACCACAAATGGCCGGGCAGTGGCGGCACACGCCTTTAATCGCAGCACTTGGGAGGCAGAGCCAGGTGGATCTCTGTGAGTTCGAGGCCAGTCTGGTCTAAAGACCGAGATCCAGGACAGGCACCAAAACTATACAGAGAAACCCTGTCTCAAAAAAAAAAAAAAAAAAAAAAAAGAAAACCCACAAATGTTCTAAAAAGAATCACTAAATGACAACAACAAATATAAAACAATGACACTCAAAGAGAGAAGCTCGAGACTCTTACTACTGGAAAATAAAAGCAAAGATGAGAAGTAATACAGGCTTTAGTATATGTTTTTGCCTATTAAGAATTATCAACTAGAAAAACTCCCAACAATCTAGGAAATGCTCTTCATTAGTTTAAATAACATTCATTAAACGTGCTTTTTATAATAATCACCACCTAGTCTCGACCTGTCCTTTCTCATTACTCCTTTTGTGAGACATCTTGTAAAGATAACAAAGATGTTTCTTTCATATCTCAAACTCTTCCTATATTACATATTTAAGGTCTTAACTTCATTTCTCAACATGCTGAAACTAACAGAAAGTAGTTAGCTGGGCATGGTGGTGCACACTTTTAACCCCAGCACTTGGGATGCAGAAATAGGCAGATACCAGAGTTCAAGGCCAGGCAGGTCTACAAAGTGAGTTCCAAAATAGCCACAGCTAAACAAATAAATAGATAAATAGTGAGAAATGTATATTTATTATTCAAATTTCCTAGCCATTCTACATGAAGCAGTAACCCATTCCTCACTGTGGTGTCGTCTGACTGCACACTGCAGTCGTTAGGAGTTCTGGGTGGGAACAGAGCATATGAAGAAATACTGGCTAAAAAGTTTGCTTAGATCAGGGGTTCTCAACATGTGGGTCGTGACCCCTTTGGGTTTGAACAATCCTTTCAAGGGAGTCACTTAAAACCATCAGAAAACACAGATATTTACATTATGATTCATAACACTAGCAAAATTATAGTTATGAAGTAGCAAGAAGAATAATTTTATGGTTGGGGATCACCACATGAGGAATAATTAAAGGGTCGCAGCATTAGGAAGGTTGAGAATCACTAGCTTATATGAAACTATACATCTATAGATCTAGAATAACAAAAACATATTAGAATATACAATAAAAGCTATTTTCTTTCTCATTTCTATTTCAGTAAAACTGAAAGAATATTACAGGTATGTAAAAATAGTACCAAGGGACTTAAGGAAAACTCGGGTGGAACACACAGTTTGTACAGTAGGAAATTGCGAGTCACTGACTTTTTCTAATTGTGATCAGAGCAGGACTTAACCTATGCTGACAACTAAACCAAATCTAACCAAGCACATCATAATCTCTTCAGAGGAAAAACAAAACAAACAAGCCACTGCTAAAGGACAGTAACCTTTGGCATGTGATAAAGACTTTCAATTGGACCCCTGGCTACAACTGGGAAGGAGGTGTCCTTGAAACCAAAATCAAATCCCTAAATATGGCATGTCTATCAAGCTAACATGACAGGGCACCGTTAGCCACTAATCCCTTTGCCCTGATCCCATGCTACATATAGTTTGTTTTACCAATTAATGCTTCAGTTTTGAATAGAAAATTTGATTATAGTGCTTATGCTATTCTTAAAAAGGCCCTAAAACTTAATAAACAGATGTAACATGGCTCCATTTATCATACAGTTAACAGGTCTATTTTCCTACATGACAAAATTAGAAAGATTGCTATATTTAATTTTTTCCTGAAATTCCATCAATGCTGCTTTATATCTTAAAAAAAAAAACAGATCCTACAATTATATTATACTTTTACTTTCATGATATAGAAAAACCAATACAATTTCATAATTTTCTTAACTTTGAAATAACTTTTCAATAATTGAAACTAAAACGGCACAAAAAAGTCAGTTTAGCTGTGACACAGATCCAAAGCAACTGTTTACTGAACTCCTTTAAGCCTTTCTTTCCTTATTTTGTGATTTGTATGGATGAGAAGCTATTAAAAATAAGGGTTTTTTTTTAATCTATTCTGAGTTCCTTTAAATAAAAAAGTTAATTAGCTAAAGCAGGAGGTGTTATTTGGCTTCTGTTCTTGCGAAAATAGGCAAAAATGTGCTGCTTTTGGCAGTGAATGTTTATAGCTCATTAGCTGACAGGGACAGTGTCGGTAAGGCCAGGATCATGGGACGCTACTTCTCACAGCTTCTACAGCACCTTGTGTTTCACAGTTATAATCTCTGAATCAGCGGTATCTTTTATAGTCTCAGCTCAAAATTCATTAATCTACAAGACTGTTAAACAATACAAAAGTACTATGTTCTTTCAAAGAGAAAATTTATTAGAACCTATAAAATTTAAGATTAAATATAAACTCCAAGAAAATAAAAGAACAAAAGAACTAGCGGTTGGCACAGTAAGTTATAGCAATGACAAATAAATTTTGTAGACTCAAGATACTTGGTACTTAATCAATGCAATGTATGTGATAAAGATTCTAACGTGTTACCAATCTAGTATGATACTGTGTGGACATTATAATCACAGTATACATACACATTAATGAATTAAAGCTGATGAAAGTATACCATTAGCAAACACATGAGACCTGCTCATTTAGTGACTATGACAGCAGTCCCTTCACCGTTTCAAAATAACATTTCTGTAAATGCTAAATATAAGCATTTTGAGACTGGCAACAAACCTAAACAGTTAAAGATACCAAAGTATTTCAGTCTAAACATGGTACAGTTTAACATTTTGAACAAAGGACAAGGATTATTTGATCAAACAATTAAAACTTACCTATGCTATAATCAGGGAAATATAAGACAAATGGTTCAAAGCATCCAGTATTTGGACGGAACTTTTCCCAAATAATCTCACTGAGAAAAATAACAGTCACATTTCTGTCAGTCTGCAAAGGAAAGGGAAGAAAAGTAACTTAGCATTTAAGAATCTGAGGGCAGTAATTCCCTTTGGATTTATCTTCAACTAAATTCAGCAAAGCTTAACATATGCAACAAATTATTTGCATATTAATTAATAAACCATATTTAAAAAACCTAATCAGAGAGCTCAACTATTTGCAGATTTTCATACATAATGACTTGGAATTTCCATAAAACTGTAGGCTAATCAACATTTCAGTTATTCATGAACACTAGGGCAGTCACACAGAACTTATTTTGTAGATACTAAGAAACACACCTGCTTGGAAAAATTAAGAGGAAATCCTTCTATGAGAATTTTTAAAAATCTTGATAGGCTTTTGCTCAATCAACAACAACAAAAAAACATTTCTCATCATTAAAATAGTTACAGCAACTCAGAGAAAAGGAAACATGGAGTTGGATAAGTAGATCTGCCATATTGTATAACTTCATATTAAAGTTTTCTGTTTGTTTTCAAATTGTTGAGAAACACTAATGGCCACTATATATTAAAAATACCAGTAATTATGACTAGTAATATCCCCCTAAATCATCAATACAAAGTAAAAGAGGTATCTTTTGAAATGTATTTTTAAAATTACACTTAATATACCAAAAATAATAATAAAAGCTGAATGTGTCCATTATTCTTTACAGACTGATCACAAACCTGTACACGCCAGCTGGAATTCATCTGCACACTGCTTAATTTTCCACATAGGTTTTCATTTGCCTGTATTCTTTTTGGCTAACAATGCAGATGTGGTATCTCTTCTGGTCTATAAGCATCCTTAGGACCCAATTTCATATATCAATTGTACTACATTTTGGGGATAATTTACTATTTGATTCCTAGCAAGTGTGCTTCTTGCATGCTGTTTTGCATTACTTAGAAAAGTAATTCCTTTGATTAACAAAAATAGTTGAACTTAATGAATGAATAATTAGACAGAAAAATTGATCATCTTTATGAAAGAAAGGAAGATGTTAGGGGCACAGAGGTCCTTGTACTCACAGAGAAGTACTAAAAGAACCAGGAATGTTAATCACACAGGAGTACCTCAAGGGAGGAGATAAAAATTAAATACCTGCATTCCATCCAGAAAGCTGAGAGTGGGTTTTGTTAACGACCTGGTGATCCTTTTGCTACCTGTGGAGGCAGACCTCACCACATTCCCCAGAATGATTATCCCAGACTCTTCCCCCCCAGACCATTACCCATCCTTAGTGGAGATGTCACACATACTTTATGGCCTGCTGACCTCTATGCTATCAGTCAGAGACCACACTAGATTCTACTTTGTAAAAGTTTCTATGTTGTCACACTGTTGTGGAATATTTGTTTACACTGTGTGAAGATGTGTCACTGTGATTGGTTTAATAAAGAGCTAAATGGCCAATAGCTAGTCAGGAGAGATAGGCAGGATTTCTGAGGAGAGAAAGGAGAGGATGAATCTAGATGTGCAGATTATGCCAGAGAGACACCAGTGAGACTCTGAAGAGGTCGGACACACGGTACAGAACAGAGGTAAGCGAGTCACATGGCAGAACGCAGATTAACAGAAACAGGTTAATTTGATTTATAAGACCTAGTTGGGGACAAGCCTAGGCTGAAGGCCAAACTTTCATAATTAAAAATAAGTCTCCATGTCGTAAGATAGCCTGACAAAAAAGCTTGCTACATCACACCTTAAGCTTTATTGTACACCAGGGATTGGTCTGCTTGTTGCCTGGAAACCTTCCCAAATTGCACTGTGTTTTAAATATGCTGATATTGAACTGCCTGACCTGAGACTCCCTGAAGTCTGATCCAGGTTGAGGAAGTCAATTCCCAGGGGGTTTTCATTCTTATCTCTTCCCAATGCTTCCCTGCCTGGATACCTGCAGGGACCCCCTCAGGTAAAGACTTTATTTCTCACAAATGCAAAGCCAAGGCTCCACCACTGAGCTATACACCAGCCCCAAAGAAGACTTTAATGCTTTTATCTTAGAAATTCATTGATTTTTAAAATAATAATTCTGAGTTTACTTAGGCTTAAAAGTATGCCTTATCCACATTCCAGATTATAAAGCTCATGAGAAATCATCAGATTTATTTTTACTTATTTAGTGTGTTCACATGTGTAGGCCAAACTTGAGCACCAGCATGAGTGTGGAGGCCAAAGGACAACTTGTGAGAGTTGAGTCTCTTTGATCACACAGGTTCCAGTTAATGAATATGGGTCACCAGGTTTGGTGGCAAGTACTGTTAATACTGAACCATCTTGCCGGGCAGTGGTGGCGCACGCCTTTAATCCCAGCACTCGGGAGGCAGAGCCAGGCGGATCTCTGTGAGTTCGAGGCCAGCCTGGGCTACCAAGTGAGTTCCAGGAAAGGCGCAAAGCTACACAGAGAAACCCTGTCTCGAAAAACCAAAAAAAAAAAATACTGAACCATCTTGCCGGTTCAAAAAAGCATTTTATAAAATCAGTTAAACATATATTGAAAAGTTGAAAAAAAAAAAAAAAAACAAGATCAATGATTTGAAATTGGTAATATTTTCAACTGTTCATCTTAAAATACTTCCAGTATACAATGTTTTATCATAATTTAAATTTCATTTGACTTAGACACTTAATGTAAAAAACAGGAAATGTTATTAAGTTCCTCTGAAATGAAATACAATTCAAAATAAAGCATCCTTTCAGAAATGTTAAACTAATAGTTCCCTTTCCTAGAGATTACAGTAGAGATTACTGTAAACCTTAAATTTTCTCCAAATAGTTTCTATAAGACTAAAACAAAAGTGAAATTCTAATTTCTGTCAACATCACCTCAAAACCATTACTAGGTATACTGAGAAAAACATGAAGGGTAAGAACAGGCAGCAAGTGTGGGAAACAACAGGGAAACCATGAAAACAACCCACAAACACCAACAAAAACAAAACAAACGGACTGAAAACAGACAACACCTTTAACAGTGGTAAACACCAAGAGTTAACCACAGACCCCAATACCTACCTACTACACTGCTACCTCTAGCCCTCCACCACCAAGTCTTACTAAACGTGAGCCATGAGTCCACCTTTGGGACACAATGACTTCAGTGGCACTTGGAAGTCTCTTCAACTTTTAGCACTGTAATTGCTTGAATCAGAAATATCCCCAATAGACTCCTGTATGTGAACAATTGGTCTCCACCTGTTTTGCAGTTGGGAACGCTATAGAACCTTTAGGGGGCAGCACCTTACTGAAGGAAGGAAAGATGTCACTGGGGCAAACTTTAAGGACCCACGTCCTGTTTCTTTTCCTCTCCTGGCGCCCACAGTAGGGCATGGACCCACATAAAACCTAAAAAAGCTTTAAAAAAGGTTCTAAACGGAGCCATACTGGGCTTCCTAGTCTTCCATGCCGGCGGTGCCCTCAAAATGGAGCCAACCACCATGAGCTAAGCCACGTGGCCGATTTCCACATTCTCTCACGGGGGACCACAATACAGAAAGGCTTCTCCTAGCCCCTGCCGGAAAACTTAAGCCATCAGCTTGCGTACATGGTGGATTTAGGGTTTGCTCATACAAAAAAAAGAGGGGGTCAAAGAAACACGATAAAGTCAGTTCAGACCAAAAAACAAAACACTCTAATCGGGTTACACTGTGTTTAGGAATATACATAGACTTTTGAGGAAAAAGGAGAATGTATAAACAGTCATAAAAAAGAAATACATAGTTTTAAAATAATAAAGTGAAATCTGGGAAGTGGGAGGAGGGAAGAGAGGGGGATTTGTGGTTGGTATGTAAAATAAACAAAAAATTTCTTAATAAAGAAAAAAAAAAGAAGCAGGGGATGATAAAAAAAAATAAAGTAAAATCCTTAAAAAAATACTAAAATAATATAAAAATGGGCCACATAAGTCAAAAGGTATGCTAATTTAGGGGAGAGGTTATGTTTTTTTGTTTCTGCAGGAATTGAGAAACTATGGTTTCATTCTGGATTAAGAAAAATCAGGTTTTATTGAGGAAGACCCCCTGAAAAACTGATTGCAGATATAAAGAAATAAACTTAAAAGAACTACAAGACATGTGATGTATATTTTACCTGCTCAAATACAAAAACAAAAAAATCATCTTTGACTGACATGTATACAATGCAGTCTACTTTTATACTGATATAAATATGTATGTTGCCTTTAAAAGTTTATGTATTTTTAGAACAAGGAGATCAGATATCAATAAAAACTAATGGCCCAGGTGATCCAGCATCTCAAAATGCCTCTGTTACAGTCTCCTCAGAATTTTGTATCCAGAACAGCTTTAAGGCTGCTAGCTGAGATGGACCAATCACACAAAATACCTGTCAGAACTTGACTATAATTTAAAATTTTCTCAGGGTCCCCATAAGATTACCAACAGGCCCAATCAGCAGGAAGTAGTCTAGAGAAGTACATCCACATTCTCAAAAAATAGATTATGGATGTTTGTCTTTGTTTAGGGGGTTGATTATAAATTTTTAATGGTCATAGTTAATCTCTTTCTAAAGAAGGAAAGGTGATATGATATAGAAATGATTGGGAAAATGGTAGATTATTATAATGGAGGAAAAAAGGGTAGATTACTGAATCTATTTTAATTCAAAAAACAACCATTAATCTCAAAATATTTTACATTGGTATGAATTTATTTATTTATTGTCACATTTTTGTATTTCTACTCTTATTTAAGGTATTGTGTCTATACTGCTCAATTAAAAATATAATGTATAATTAAAAAATATAGATTAAGTCATCTATAATAGTCAAACTTATAGCCATATTAGTTAGGTTTTCTAGGTATACAAAGATATATTTCAATTACATAGGTAATCTTTAAACACTTCAAAGACCTACAGAATATGGCATTTAAAATGTTTTAAGAACTTAGACTTTACTCGGCAGTGAGACATATTTGCTCCTGGCAGTACCAATTACTTTAAGAGGATGATGGGCATTGAAGAAACTCCTTATGGACTTTGCTTTCCATGTGGCAAGGCTAGCTAGCCATTTGGGCAAGAAACTGCTCTTGCCTGGACTGCTTGACAGTATGCTGTATAAACTGGACATTCAGGACCCACAGGAAAGTGACTGCTAAACTTTGCCAAAACAAGGTGGGATGGTCCTTCTGATTCCTGCTTCACAGAAGAAACTGCCAGATATTCTGCAGGACACAGAGGAAAGCGACTAATGAACTTTGCCAATATAGGCAGGACAGTCTTTCAAATTTCCTACTTCACTAAAAAGTCTGCCAGATACTCTAGGCCTACAGGCTGAAGATAGATGCTCCAACATTACAGAAGAACTTTGAGTGACTCTACATGCAGCCAGATGTCTCTGTCATTTCTAGAGTTTTAGAAGTTGCTTATAATGCACTTCCTGTTTACTTAGGTAATATTATATTCTTCTGAGGTATTGGATAGAATTGAAGACTAGATAGTTATAATTATAGTTTTCCTTAGTTATGATAGAAAGTAAATTAGGTATGAAACTTTAGACTCATCAAGACAAGATAGATAATTGAATGCTTACTCTAATTTTGTCAAATACAAATAGACTAAATATTGTAACTGTAATTCTTGCTTAATAACTGTTTTGTTATATGTAAGTTTACTATGTTAAAGTTAAAACCTTCCTTTTTGATTAGACAGAAAGGGGAAATGCTGTGGGATGCCTTTCTGTATGCTGTCCATATGTGTTGCTTTCATTGGTTGATAATAAAGCTGTTTGGCCAATGGTGAGGCAGAATAAGGTTAGGCAGTACAATCAAACTTAAGACAGAGATGAAGAAGGGCGAAGTCGGGGCAGATGCCAGCCAGCTGCTGAGTAAGCAAGATGTGTAGAAAATGACAAGCCATGAACCAAGTGGCAAAGCATAGGTAAGAAATATGAGTTAATTTAAATATAAGAGCTAGCTAGTAATAAGCCTGAGCCATCGGCCAATCATTTATAATTAATATAAGCCTCTGAATGGTGATTTGGGAAGCAGCTGCTGGGTATTTGGAAGTTGTTGATGGGACAGAGAAAGCCTCCATTTATACTCTCTCCCTCTTTCTTGTATAGGGATGAAATGTAATTAGTGGCTTCCTAGCTGCTAGCCTAGCCTCATACTCCTGCTGCTATGCCTTCCCCAAGAGGGGCAGTATCCATTCTGGAATTGCAAGGCAAAATAAACTCTTTCTCCCCAAGGTTACTGTTCTATCATAGCAGCAGAACAGTAATTAATGTGAGCAGTTTCTCATATTTGGATACTGCATTTAACTTTCAAAGGGTAAGATTCTACCTTGGCTCTCAGTACAATGTTATTTAATACTTTCATACAAACGAACATACAGTTAGAAAGTATAATCTATTTATGTTCAAACCACTGATAAAATAAGAAAACCATATAAATCAACCACAAAAGTCAAAAAAATTTCAATTACTCTTAACTGAAGAGGACAAATGGTACTGTTCTGCATAGCCAGCTCTTTGCTCTTAGTAGGTAAAACCCTAATGGGGATATGTACCTGAACAGAGCATTCCTGCATGGACACTAGTGAGGACTGAATTCTCTCATCAATTTTCTTTCTTCAAATTATTCAAATTGTTGTGCTTTTCCCCTAAGATAATTACTCTCTTATCTGATAATATGCATATTAAATCTCTCCTACTCTGTTGTGCATTAGGCCTTGACAATTACAGTTGTTTTAAAACAGTGCAATGAGGTCACAATAGTAGAGTGAAGAGTTGCATGCTGACACTGAGTGGCTAGCAGACAGCAATCCAGATGATCAGAATAACTACATCATGACTTTTGTAGATTGAAATGATAGTTAAGAATTACTGTAGAATTCAATGTCTAGCCCTCTACCATTAATGACTAAACACACTTGAAATTCTTTAATAGATAGCAAATTACTTTATAATTAAAACTAAAATAATTTAGTAAGTCTATCAAATCATAAATTAATATTACTATGGGAAAAGACTGAACTTCAATCATGACAGAGAAATATGACAATACAACATATTGGGTAGGGAACATATCTTCTGATCTACTGAGGGAAAAGCACTCTCATATATTACTTACCAACTCTTGTAACCTAAGAAACCCAGGCAAAAGATTTGCTTCCATATCTCTTAGGTATTCAGCTTTATCTAGAACCTTTAAAAAGAGATGTCTACATGAAAATCAATTCATAATATATTTTATAAAGCATGACACACTGTAAGATTTTTAAACTTTCCATGCTATAAAGAAAAAAATGTAACTTTTAAAGCAAATTTAAATTTACTTTCAAAAGGCTATTTACATTTGTAAAGATATTTCAAATAGATTAAGCTAAAAAATAGATTACTAATAATATATTTTAATCCAAATATCCAAAGAGAAAACATGTCACTGTTACATTTAAAAGGCTGCTTTCTAATTGTAGTTCCTCAAAAACATGGTGTGAAGTACTCTGACTCCATTTTCCCCGCTTAAAAATGACAAGTCTTTATTACCCAAGAAAGACAGAAGTATACACTAAAATTCATCACACACAACTTTTCTTCATTGAACTTTACAACTACACATACAATGTTTAAACTGCTGGATAACTCAAAGATTGAGTTTTGTTCAGTGTTATAATGCTTTTGTTATAACGTTTTCTAAAACATATAGTCATTAGATATATACAGTAAACATTTATGGATAACATCATATAATATAGAACAGCAGAAAGGTGATGAGTTTGGTCACATTAATAACTATTAAAACTGACTAATGAGGTCATATGGGTACTCTTTTAAAAAATATAACCAGCCACATTATCATACATTTAAAAAGTTACCATTATTTCTTAATATCATCAAAGAACCAATACTCAAATTTCTTCATACTTGTCCCAATAATGTTTCATTAGTAGCATGGATGATTCAGGATTCATGAATGTATGAGTTCATATAGGACAAAAGGAAAAATACTTGATTTCCCCAATTATCAATTTCTTATTCTGAGTTTTTGCCCGGTTTTTTTTTTTTTTTTTTTTTTTTGTAGTATTACAAGAGACCTAATGGCTTAATAGACTTAAAATTTATTTTCTCATAGTTCTTGGAAGCCAAAAACTTAAAGACAGTTTCACTGAGCCAAAATTAAGGTATCAGCGGCACTATGATAACTCCAGTGGCTCCTGGAGAGAATCTAATTCCTGCCTTTTCCAGCTTCTGGTAGCCTAGTCCAGATGGCCGTGGTATTGGAGTAATGTGGCTCGTTACCCACATCATTCCAGCTTTACAGGCAAATACCCTCAAACTTATGGTTGACTTCCTGCAGCTTCTGCAGTCTGGTCTTGCCCATCGTGTAGTGCACTTACATATCCATCCTTCTGCTTCTCTTATCTATTGACATTCAGGATTAGAGTCTGTTTCCACCCAGATAATCTGGGTGAATCCACCCACCCTAAGATCCTTCACGTAACTTCACGTGTGAAGAGCCTTTTTCCAAATAAAGTAGTGTTTCCGGGGCTCAGGGTCAGGACTTGGTGTCTTCTTGGGGCTATTACTCGCCTACTGCAGTGCAGGAGTAAATTACACTTTCAAAGAAACACAGAAATTTAGTTTTGTGATTTTTCACTATTTATCTAATATGTTCCCACTCATTTAACTCATTAAAATTTTAACGTTAATTCTTTTAGAACTTCACACATGCACACATGGTTTTAACCATGGGCATCCCCACTCTTCTCAAACTCCTCCTGAAACGCCATCCTACCACGTCCTGCTCCCAACTCCACGTCTTCTGGTCTTGTTTCTTTTAAATAACCCACTGGGTGAGGTTAGTACTGCCTGTGTGTTCACGAGTGTAAGGTCACCACTGGGTGAGGTTAGTGCTGCCAGTTTGTTCACGAGTGTGAGGTCACCACTGGGTGAGGTTAGTGCTTCCTGTGTGTTCACGAGTGTGAAGGCCCTCACGAGCTCCTCCCTCAAACATGGAACGCTGACCGGCTCGATCTTGTGCGGACAACCACAGCTACTGCGAGTTCATGGTTGTATCCAGAAGACACTGTTCTCTGAGGCTTGCATGGAGGTATTGATACAGATGCCCTGTTTATGGCTGAGCCCTCCATAGTCACTCATTCTCTGTACTTCTGACCAACTGTAAGTCTCTATATTCATAAACATCCACTGGGAAAAGAAGCTTCTCTAATGAGCTTTTAGCTGTACCCGTCTATGGGTGGAAAGGTAAGTATTTAGAAGGCAGTTTGATATTATGGCCATTTAGCAAAGAACAACACTAGGTTCTTCCTTTCAGCCTATGACTTCTCCAGCCACAGGCTCTGACCAAGCTTACAGTACAGTTCCCTCCTGAGGAATAGGCCTGACGTCTGATCAGAAAGTGACTGGATATCCCAAAGCATTGAAGATACTACTGCACCAATGGCCATACCTTGCCAGGCTACTTGTTACTGCTGCTCACAGAGTTCACAGCTAGGTAAGACTGTTAGTGACCTTTCTCCCCCAACAGCCTGCAGAGCACCTGATACTATGAAAGCTAGGCAGAGGGGAAAGCGTCCAGGTTAGTACCAGCTTGATTTAACTCATTTTAAAATAGTCAAATTGTCTTATACTTGGGGAGTATGATCCTCTTCAAATTGGCTCCCATGTTTTTCATAACCCTAGTAGTCATTGATAGTTTCCTAAATTTAAAATATGACAAGATGCTCTGTGCATTATCTAGTGCATTACCTGTGGAGAACTAAAGTCCTTTTCTCTAAAAAGGAATCCATTTTAATATCATAAACATTTACACTTTAATAATAAATCTTCTTGTAAATTATATAATCATTAAATTAGGAATAAAATTAAGATGCAGAATATAGTTTCCCTGAATAATCCAGATATTTTATATCCATCTTACTAACAAAGAGCTTCTAACAATGTATGAGAATAATTATATTTAAAATATTTAATTCTTAGTTTAGACAAAATAAAGCTACAACTTATAGCAATAAAGAAATAAATTAGTTGTTCAACTATACTCTCGCATGAGGAGATTTCTCATCAATCTCCATTTAAATAACTCTCTAACCTAGAATACTAACTCAAAAAAACTAATCCACTTTAATGAAAAAACACAAAGCAGAAACAACAAATTAAGAGTTTATTCTTTTAATCTGATAATGATTAACTGCTATAATTAATGATTTCATTATTCCAATTAATGATCCTTCTTCAAAAGCTATTATTAGATAACTATGATTCAAAAGGAAAAACTGAGATGTAAATATTTTCTTAATGATTTATAGTAGAGTATTCTAGTGGATTCTCAATTTGTAAGCCACAATAAGCAGAAAAATTTTAACCAACAGAAAAATTCTTAGCCAACTTTCTAAATTATTTTCTAAGGAGTAAAGCTATTTTTTTTGTGGGAGCCCATTTTCAGGTTCCCAGTGGCTTTATCCAGCAGGTCTGCATAGAGAGGATGATTAGACCATGGGCCAGAGTGCAAGTGTCCGAGATGGTCTGCACTTGGCTGTGCAGACTTGGGGGAGGTCCTTTGCTCCACCCCTTGGCATTTCTATAAATACCCTAGGGCAGAGAGTCAGGAACTGTTGGAATAGGTTCCAGGCCCTTTCGAGGCTATCCTGTATTTTCTATCTGTTTATCTCCATACTCTAAATCCTTCTATCTAATATTTCCTGCTACTCTCACTCAAGAAAACTCTGGGGAACTGTGGAGTTGGTGGGTAGCTGCCCCGCACTTTTTAGTAGTACAGATTAATAGTTATAGACCAGTCTAAACTTGTTCTAAACACCTGTATACTTTTCTCCCCAAATGTTTAGCCAATAACAAATGCTTCTTGGGTACTTACCACGGTGTATGGATACGAAAAATGAGTATTCTCCTATCCTGACACCAGCTCTCTCTCCTTCCTAATCTAATTAGTCCTGCAAATTCTATACTTGTTAAAGGCAGCCATGCATTCTAGGACCAATCCTCCTCATCTTCTATCAATTACATCTTTTAATCATCCTTCTCTAAGACAACTTCTCTATATTTAGATATTTCAACTTCTATAGAGATGGCCCTCTGTGGATATGCAAGACATTTAGTTCTTACATTATGAGACTATTTTCATAATACTAAAATGCCATTTGCTTTTTCATCATGTTGAAAGCATTTGAACTGTTGGTATATAAGCAACAGCGAATTAAAGTAGGGTCGCCTTAGCATACATCAAAGAAATGGTAGTAATTATTAGCAGTCACTGCATTCTTCACTATGCATTTGCGTTAAAAACTTAAAAATTGACTTGAGAATGGAGGGATGGCTCAGACGTTACGAGCACTTGCTGCTCTTCCAGATGACCTGAGCTGGATTCCCAGCACCCATATAGAAGCTTGCAACCATCAATAACTGCTGTTCCAGGGAATCCAAGGGTTTCTTCTAACCTCTGCAGGTTCCAGGCATGCATGTGGTACATGGATGTACATGCAGACAAAATACCCATACACATAAAATAAAATAAATAAATTTTAAAATAAAAAAGACTTCCACTTCTTATAAGACAGAAAAATGTGTTTTGTCCTAATCTCCTGCTAAGTCAAACTAAGAACACTGAATATGAAATCTCTGAAACTTATAGAGAAAAAGCAAACAGCTTTCTCATCATCTTGTTTGTGTTTCTGTCTCACATATTTCAGACAGAGGAAAACCAGTGGATGCAGACCAAAAGGGCCAACGAGAAACCAAAATCAGCCTGTCCTCCCTTCAGTTGCTTCTTGTTAGGACTTGATCCCAACAATGAGAAAATTAACTAGTAATCTACTCATTCTTTTTGGTCTGTCTTAAATCTTATTGCCTCATAAAGGTGTACCAGATCACTTACGTCAGTATTTTGCATGCCACGGCTACCACTGCATGTGGTATTCTGCATGTGGTCCTATGTGAATATCTGTTATAACTCTTCTGTTAAGCAAAGCCCCCTTTTGACAGCAGTTCTAACACATTTTTGTATCACAAAAGCACCTTCCACAAAGCACTATACAAAATAAGACTCAAAATAAATATATGGAAGTGGATCTACTGCAGTCATTTTTCAAATTAAAGATGATATAATCACGTTAAATTACTTACAATATATACAGTCTGATCCTTGAGATTTTCAGTACTGGTCACTTGCTTAAACAATCGAACAAAGTCATTAAATGTTTCACAGGTTATTTCTGTAGGACATCCTGCCACTGAAGAATTAAGATGACTCAACTTGTTTAGAATTTGTTCCAAAAGTAGCCTCAAAGTAAAGCATTCAACACAGTTCACAAAGACATGTGGGAGCTGAAAACAAAAACCAAAACAGGATAAACAAAAACACATAAAGTTTCTGTTGGACAGTCTCTAATTACCTCTGTGAACCTACACCCACCCTGCTGCTCTCCCATCCCCACTGTGCCCCAGGAACCTGGCCCATATAAATTACATCATCAGGCCCTGGTAGGAGAAGTCAATAGGAAGAAGCAGGTAGGGACGGAAGCAGAGTTGCTGAGGGAATAAGTTCAGTATTTCTTTCCTTGCAGTGTCTACATTCTGCTACAAAAGGCCAGAGCTCCAGCTAGGTACCCCTTTTTGTAAGGCTACTGGTCTTGCTGGGTTCTAGTGACAGTGATTCTCTAAGTTTCCTTGAAGCCTCGGGGGTGATAAGGGCCATGATGATTACTGTCCCTGCTTGATTCCCTTAAAACTTCCTCAACCTCTGCAAATTGTCCCTTCCTTAAACTCACTTCCGGGATTTGAGTTTGTCATCTCTTTTCTTCTAAGACTCAAAGTAAACTTGTATTTTCCTCCAAGTATTATTATAAAGAAACCAAATTCTTTTGAATGTTAAAATTCCTAGTGGGAATTTTACTTACTAGAAAATTTGTTTACTAGGGGGTTACATTTACTTACTAGAGAGGGGCCATCAGTATTTCCTTAGGTAGAGCGCTCATAATGTCTACTAAGAATAAGTATCTTGCTTACTTTTGTGCTATTCTTGACTCAAATAACAACATTTTTTTTTCTAAGCACATATTTGGTTATCTATAACAGAAGCAGTAATAGTCATATCTAACACTGATTAAGTCACTGCAAAAATAATAAAATGTTAAAAACATAACACATTCCTTAAATATAAAACTTCCTTACTGAATTTTCATGCTTTTAGTCAACATCTATTTTCTGGATACTTCATATACAAACTTTCAAATATAAATTGGTGACCAAAGACCTCATATATTTACATTCTGAAGTCAGATATGAAACTCAGACATCTTTGTGTTTAAAATGCCAGTTGATCTTTGGGATCAAAGACTAATATCTACAACTTAAAATGTGCCAAGCACTGTGCTTGTGGGGATGATATATGTGTGTGTGTGTGTGTGTGTGTGTGTGTGTGTGTGTGTGTGTATGTATATGTATTTTTTTAAAAAATCACAGCCAGAAAAAAAAACAAAAAAATTACAGCTGAGAAGATTAAATATTGTGATACGATAAAACTAAAAAGGGTTGAAGCTACAACATAAGGGTACATTTTAACATAGCATTAGAACTCAGGAAGCACTTCCCAGAGAAGTAGAAAAAAACATGGCTAAATCTGCATTTGTCAACCAACAGGATATTATAAGGAGAGCAAGTTGAGTAGAGGAAAGTCATTCCAAGAAGTAGGAGCAACACAGGCCAAAATTTGAAAGAGAGCAGGAACTATATGTAATTCAGTGGGACATGTTAAACATGCATCCCTGGAGCTATGGTAAGATGAGTTAGCAAACCAAAGCTTGTGGCCTGCACATCTGTTTCTCTGTACTCAGTTGCTGAAGATCATAGCCATGTCCATTCAAATAGCTATTGCTTACTGCTGGCTGAGGACATAAACAGATGTGTGGTAATATTCATAAATAGCATCTAAACTTTAATACTTGCTAATAATACTATACTGGAATGCATTTTTCATGTGTTAACATTTACTTATCATAATTCCACAGGTTGTTACTACTTGCCCCATTTTACAGACAAGGAAGGCACTATGCAGAAATACTAGGAAAAACCAATGATAAGTGAAACTGAGATAAAAATGGACATGAGTAAATACAGATGAAGTCCTGTCTTCACGATGGAATTATTTATTGGATTGGTTTAAGGATAAGAAGAGTTTTTTGTTTCTGTTTTTTAAGCAGATTCAGCCAACTGTACTAATGGTTAAGATCATTCAGATAGGAAATATGAAAAGAGCAGGATGAAAGTATGTGCAGTTTTACATGTGTGAAAAATCAGAATTATCAGAATCAATATCATAAATAAAAAGTGAAAAAGAAACATTTTATAATGTTAAAAAATAAATTTTAGTATTTCTAAAAGAAGCTATTACTTGTGTGGTCAACTACTGGGCAACAAAAGAGAGAAAAATTTAGCTCAATTTAAAACTTTCTAACATCAGAGTTTAAGTTATTTAATAACTGATAGCTTTTGAAGTTTATACACATTCAAAGTATTTCAACAAGATCTGGGCAGAAATGCTTTATGTAGCTGATGATACTCTAGAGAAAGGAAAATTGGAATAAGTCATCTAGATTGATTCCCTCTCTACAATGTAGGAATAAAGGTCCATTATTATCAGGTTCAGGGTTACCCTTACCTCTAAAGTTTTCAACAAGGTTTGTGTTACATAGGTCTTCCCACTGGCAGTATGCCCATAAATAAAAATGGACGGAAAGCTGAAATGATGTCTCTAGGAAAGAAAAGACTAGTTTTTATCTGTATGAAACCAGAAGTGAACATTTATCAACTTGTAAGAAAGTTTTATTGGTACAGTTTAATACTAAATCCAAGTTATTTCAGTGGTGCATACAGGTAAATTCTTAATATTCTGAACTTAAATTCAACTCAAAGTACTTTCTTTTATGAAATTACCTTGTAAAATTATATGTGGCCATTATTGGCTATATATTATATAACTGTACTTTTATTATTACATGGGTTTCCACATACAAACTCATGTATTCTCAACTTTCTAAGAGATTTAAGGGAATTTTCAAGGGTAATTTTGTCTATACCACATTTTTAATCATTTTCAAAAAGAATTTAATGTTCTTGTAGGCTACAATTTCATTATACATTTTATTGTTTGAAACTAAAACAACAGAACACAATAGACATTTTTGAGGTCTTATTCCTAGAAATCTTAAATACTTCTGAATTATTCATAATCATTTACCTTGGCATAAGTGTATATATTTCATCAAATCAAACATTGATGAAATCTACATAGCAATATTGGATACAGGATTATAGTTCAGTGGTACATCAATTGCTTAGAATGTGCAAGGTCCTAGCTGATCCCTAGCACCATGAAAAAGTTAAGTCAAAATGCATATATACAGAAGGTTCTGTAATACACTAAGTCAGAAACAAACTGTCAAAGGTATTATTGGCCTATCCTATAACATTAATATGCTTTATTTATTTGATGAACGTCAATATTTATGAGATAGCCATTAAATGCTAAAAACTATAAGATACTGAACAGTACAGACACCAATCAAAGACAGGTTAGACTCTGAAGAGTTAAAATCTACTGGGGAGACATAAATTTTAAAAATTATTTCAGATATCACTTCACAAGCAAAAAGGAAGCTTATGACCACCTTCAACAGTTTTTTTCAAAGCTTGATGAAATCTGCTTTTCTGGAATCCTACGACACTTGTCTACATCTATGATTTGGTGCCTAATACACTGTTCCCTGCCCTAGCAAGGCTTCTATCACTGTGATAAATATCATTACCCAAAGCAACTTGAGGAGGAGAGAGTTTATTTCAGCTTACATTTATAGTTCATCATGAAAGGAAGTCAGGATAGGAACTCAAGGCAGGAACCTGGGAGGAGGAACTGATTGATACACAGGCCATGGAGGAAGGCTGCTTATTGGCTTGCTCCTCCTAGCTTGCTCAGTTTGATTTCTTTACCACTCAGACCACCTACCCCAGAGGGCTGGGTCCTCCCACATCAATCATTAACCAAGAAAATACCCTACAAACTTGCCCACAGACAATTTGTTGCAGGCATTTTCTCCATTGAGGTTCTCTCTTCCCAGATAACAACAGTAACCAGCACATCCCCCCTCTATAATGACTTTTATATTGTTACCTAGAATTAAAATGAACTCTTATACTGTTATTTTTCATCTTCACAAACCTCCCCAACATCTGTAGCAAGGCAGAATCTGGCACAGTACCTTCCACAGAGAAAGTGCTTAGAAAATACACACTTGCTAAACAATCTTCTAAGAAACATGAGCTAGTTTTAGTTTTGTTTTGTTTTTGGTAGTTTGTTTTGTTTTGTTTTTGGTAGTTATTTGCTACAGTGGCTCTTTGTATTTTCCACATGCAAACTTCCTTGAAGAAAAACACTATTTTTGTTAAACATAATTTGAAGCAAGAGCAAGAGTGAAAACCTTTTCTGTAATGTACTACTAAATCAGCACTACCCACCATTATTTGCTAAAAAGTACTTCTTTTTCTGAGTATTTTTGGTTGGAGTAATCTGAGTTTATCAAGTCCAGTGAAAGAATGCATAGAGCATAACCAAGTATGTATTTCAATAATATGGGTAACTCTAATTGAAAGCACTGTAACTAGAAAAGTAGATACCGTTGGCCTATATCTTAACTAATGAGACCCTTTTTGATGGAGGGGGTACTTTTCCACTAATATTTCACAGGTCACCTTAGACTCACATCCAACACTCAGGTGGTTGAAAGTACATTTTTTAAAGCAACCTAAATGATTACTTGTATTTACTCACATTCCAGATAAGATCCAAGTGCAATTAATGCTAATGAATGAGTACAATGCAAAAGGCATATAAGAAAATGAATAGTATTCCTGCCTATCAATGGGAATCTCTAGCTGCGTTCCTTTCAGAGGACCTCTCCCCTATAAAGAATCTCATCTGCTAGTCAGGGAGAGAAATCCAAATGAGACCTCTCCTGGTTTTTAAAGGCTAAAACAGAGAGCTATCCTAAGTGGTCTTGAAGCCAACCACCTCTCTGTATTTGACTTAATCACACCTCACTGCAATAGGTGAACCTGTATTTAATAAACACTCTGCAAACAGACTTCTTACATAAACCTTGTTCTTACATAAACCTTGCAGACGCTATTCAGGGCTCACATAACCTCCAATGTATGGCCCAGTAAAAGGACTACCTCCTAAGTAATGTCCCATAGAGCAGGACAACCCTTCCTCTGCAGTCTCCTCTGAAATGGACTGAGGAGTTTCTTTGCGTAAGTGTGGGACAGACCTACAGCACCTCCATCTTAACATAATCTTAACGTAAGATGATAGTCTACCGCCTCGCCATTCACACACTGCTCCCCCAACAGAGCAAGGACGCGTTGGCCTCTGGAATTTGGGACAGTCTGACCACAATACCTCTCCAAACAGGGACTGCAAGGTGGACACTTGGGCCTCTCGACAAAGCACCATGCTCTCCATGTGAGACATTTTGGCGGGCACCACCCGAGACTGCAGGTTGGCCGCCAATCGGCGCGGAGTCTACCTCTCGGCGTATTTCACGCTACTCAAGCAGTAACTTTCCTCCCGGAAGCGCAGACGCTAGGCTGCGGGCGGGGCCGGCGCGATCCAGTGACGTCAGGAGCCCGCGCAGCGAGGGCGCCGCTCTAGCCTCCAGGCGCCGGTTCTCAGTGGTCCGCGTCCTGCGAGCGGCGGTTCCTTAGCGCTCGCTTTCCTCCTCCCTGCGCCGGCCAGGACAGGGGGAAGGGCCGGCGGCGATCCGGGGGCGTCTCACGACCCTGCCTTCCGTGGCTTCAGTTTCCGCCGGGAGGAACAAGTATTCTTATAAAAGGAGGCTTCCCCCTGGAAAGAAGGTGGGAACTGGGTGACATTTAGCGCTAAAGGGAACTAACTGTGGGATTTAATAAATTTAGAGTAATTTTTGTTTGTTTTTGCAAGCTTGGAACATTGGAGGTATTAGAGTGTCGGTGGGGACAATAGGAATAAAAATTGCGCTATCTTCGGCATACACCTTCCTTCATGTAAGACACCTAGAAGCAAGATGTTAGAAAAACCTTGAAAAATCAAAAGAGAGAATATAGAAATAGGAAAATTTGTGTTAAAAGACAGGGGTTTAGGGTCCTGAAAAAAATTGGTCTGGGGACGTTTACTTAACTATTTCTGAACGTTGTGACGTTGGGAGAATCTTTGAACTGTTCATTTAAACTTTCCAATATACAAATTAAGGACAATGTTGGATTACTTCTAAGAATAAAAGATAATGTACATAGTGTCTGCTACACATAGATTTTATAGCCAGTGCAGAAAGACAAAGAAAACAAATGCACCCAGATTAGAAAGAGGACCACTATGTATTACTGAGCAATACAGTAGCCTGTGGAGGAAATCTAATTGCTTCTCCAAAAGAGACACTAGCCTAGCTCTAATAAGTTAGCTTGCAAGACTTCCAGGTGCAAGATAACTGTCTCCACACAATGGCAACAAACAAGTATGAAGTACTTAGGAATAAAATGAACCAAATATATGTGAGGCCTGCTTACTTAAAACTATAAAATAATTACTAAAAGATTAAAGAAGACATTTTTAAAAATAACTGTACTGCGTTGTGAGAATTATGTTTGTTAAAATTAATCTCGTTTTCCCAAACTGATAATGTAGAACCAATAAAAAAAAAAAAAGTGGGTTTTTGTTGTTGTTGTTGCTGTGGTGGTCTGAATGAAAGCGGCCCCCACAGGCTCATAGGGAGTGGCACTATTAGGATGTGTGGCCTTGTTGGAGGAAGTGTGCCACTGGGGGTGGACTTTGAGGTTTTAGGTGCTCAAGCCAGGCCCAATTTCTCTTTCTTCCTACTGCTTGCCTATCTGAATATAGAACTCTAGGCTCCTTCTTCAGCACCATGTCTACCTGCATGTCACCATGCTTCCTGCCATGATGATAATCGACTAAATCTCTGAAACTGTAAGCCAGCACCAATTAAATGTTTTCCTTTATAAGAGTTGCCATGGTCATGGTGTCTCTTCACAGCTGTGGAAACCCTATTTATTTTTGGTAAAAATTGATTCAACAGCTACTTCATGAAGAAAAGATATGCTGATCACAAGCACATTAAAAGATATTCAGGAACTGGAAATATGCCTTTAATTGTTAACCCTGCAGGTTTGAGGACCAGGCTTTGGATTTTAGATGTTCCTGTAAAATGCTTAATATAGATGGCTCTTGCTTCTCCCAATTCTGGGGGAGTAGAGGAGCAGAAACAGGAGGATACCTGAGGTCAGCTGGCCAGTCTAGCTGAATCATATTCTCCAGATTCAGTGAGAGACCCTGTCTGAAAAAAGTAAGGTAGTGATCCATTGAGGAGCACACCCAGTGTGAAGACTTAGCCTGCAGTCACACACACAGTCCATTGCAGAGCAGCAGGTAGACTCCTTTGTATCCACATGGTTAGAGATAAATGTCATGGGTATTTTCCCATGGGCTGCCCTGAGACACTTAGTGCTATAGTCTGGAGAAATGTCACATGAGGAGGAGATGCTGTGACTGTGAGGTCTCACTGTGCAGAAGTGCGGGGATCTAAACTCAATGTTACACTGGCATGGCAGGTGCTTCGTTGACAACCAGCTCTGCCCCTCTCCTGATATTTATACCCTTTTAAAAGCAGTTTGGCCTTTTCCATAGAGTTGATAACATGTTTAGTTGATCACTGTGCACATTTATTGTTTGAAGAATACTAAGAGTTCAGTCTTCACTTACATATTTTGTGCTTTTATTGTAGTAACTTTTAAAAATAATTTATAAAACATTGCTACCATTTTTTTTTTCTCTAAATCAGTGCTATCAGTAGTGAAAAACTTTTTGTAATCTGGGCAGTTAAAATACCATTTGCCTCTTTAAATGTTGGTAATCATACTGATAGCCCAAAATTTTACCTTTTTAAAGTATAATTAAATTGTACATGACTTTTGTCATGTCATGTCATATTGAACAGCACAGATTTTTGGTAGTTAAATATCTTGGAATGGATACAGTAAAAACATTAAATGCATTTATATTAGCCTTTATGTAACTATTTCTGCAACTAGTTTCTTGTGCAAATCTGAGTTTCATCTCCTTTAATACAGGTGTATTGGTAACACATTCCCTCAGCTTTTGTTTGAGAAGAAACTCATGTTCACGTTCTTTTCTAGCAGATATTTTAGCTGAGTTTAGAATTTTGAGAAGAGGACTTTGGTGTCCCCAGCATTTAAAGTTACCATTTCATTGACTTCTGGTTTGAATGGTTTTGGACAGAAAGTCATATTATTTTTTCCATTTAATGTATATGCTTAATTAATTTCCCACTTAGAGTATATTTTTTCTTAAGCCACCTTCAAAATGTTCTTTTTATGTGGTTTTCAACATTTTGGATGTGATGAGCATAACTTTTATGTTAATTCTGTTTTCCTGTTAGTATTTCTCAGAGGTTATGGGATCTTTAATTTGATTTTTCAATGTTTTAAAAGAAATTCTTAGTCATTCTCTCTGCAATAGTTCTATTTTCTTTCTCTTCCCTTCTGAAATTTCAGTTACACTTGATTCTATTGAATATAATTTATATGTTCCATTTTGGTGCTTTAATTTCATCAACTACACTCACTAGTTTAGGACTTTTCAAGCTTGGTAATTTCTGTTGGTCTGTAGTTAAGTTTATACTGACTATGTTTTTCCCCTCAGTTTTCTCAAATTTACTGGTGAAACTATCAAAGGCATTCACTATCTGCTATTGTGTGTGTGCATGCTAATTTTCTTGCTGTGACCACACACCTGGCACTAAGTACCTTTAAGACATGTTTGTTTTGGCTCCTGATTGTGGGTGAATTCCAAAATGTTGGTAAGGCATGGCAGCAGAAGCAGCTCTCAGCTCTGGAGGCAAGAGCATGAAGCTGTTTGCTTATGTCTGAATGGATCAGGAAGCGGGGCTCGCAGAGTTATACACCACAGGGCCAGCCCCTACAGTGATCCAGTTCCTCCAGGTAGAGTCATATGCCACAGGACCAGCCTCTGGGTAGCCTCTGCTTCCTAAATGTTCCATAGCTTCCCAAACAGTGTCATCTTCAGGAGATCAACTCAAAACACGTGAGCCTTTGGGGGACATCCTATATCCAAACTACAATATGGGTGAAATATTTTTATTGTTTCATCTTTGGGGATAGTTTCTATCTCCCTAAAAATTTGCCATCTGATATTCATCTTTATATCATTTATGCAAATTCTTTAGCTTATTAATCATAGGTTTTTGTTTTTGTTTTGTTTTTTGTTTTTTTGGTGTGTTTTTTCTTTTCTTTTTTTGAGACAGAGTTTTACTATGTAGTCCTGACTGGCTTGGAACTGGCTATGTAAACCAGAATAGCCTCAAATTCAGACATTAACCTGCCTCTGCCTCCTGAGTGCTGGAATTAAAGGTGTGAGCTACTCTGTCTCTTAATCAGAGTTATTTAAATCCGCATCTGATGCCTCGCACACCTCATTCGTCTCAGCAATCCTATTACTTGCCTGTCTTTTACAGTGGCTTGTTTTTTATTGTTTACTGAAGTTGTATGTCTTATGCAGGTAGGCTGGTACGTACTTGGAACCCCAGCACTCAGGAAGCTGAGGCCGGAAGATTGTCAGTTCAAAGCCAGCCTGAGTTAGCAAGACCATATCCTGTCAAACAAACAAAAAAGTAATAAAAACAGAAAAAAAATGTGGCTGTTTTATACATTTTTATTTTTTTATTTTTTTTTTGTTTTTCAAGACAGGGTTTCTCTGTGTAGCTTTGCGCCGTTCCTGGATCTGGCTCTGTAGACCAGGCTGGCCTTGAACTCACAAAGATCCGCCTGCCTCTGCCTCCCGAGTGCTGGGATTAAAGGCGTGCGCCACCACCGCCCGGCACTTTTATACATTTTTATTGAACAATATCCATCATGTTCAGAGCAGTAGAGACTGGGGTAAATAGTATTTGTGCATAAAGATTATTAATGTGAGAAATTCACATATAATCAGGATTGAGTTAGACTGCTTTCATCTTCCAAATTGCTCTAGTGTTCTTTAGGCTGACAGTGAGGAATGAATGACTAGTGACAAGGTTTCTTGCCTTTCTGCCAAAGGCTCATAGCTTTGCTCCCTAGAGGACAGGGGTTCAAGCGAGGCTTTATTTCTCTATTCCAGCACTTTCAAATGTTTGTTTTAATGTGTGTGTGTGTGTGTGTGTGCACACACACTCATGCTTATGTGTAGGGGATGTGTATGTGTGTGCATGTGTTTGATTACATGTGTGTGTGCAGATGCATGCATGCTCCTGTTGAGGCCAGAGGACAATTTCAGATGTTGTCCTCAGGAATTCCATCTACTTCCTCTGGGACAGTGTCTCTGCTTGGCCTGCTTTGGCCTGGAGCTCAACGATTACTCTAGACTGGCTGGCTATTGAGTCCCTGTTGTCCACTCCCCAGCATGAGGATAGCAGCAAGTGACCACACATGTCCTGTTGTTGTTGTTGTTGTTGTTGTTGTTAGATTTATTTATTTTATTATTGTATGTGTGAGTGTTTCATCTGCATGTATGTATGTGTATGCTATGAGCATGCCTGTACCCTTGGAAGTCAGGAGAGGTATGGGATCTCCTGGAACCAGAGTTGCAGATGATTGCAAGGCAAAAACTTTCCCAGCTGAACTAACTCCCAGAAGGTGGCAGTCATTCTTTATCTTCCATACCTGCTGTGATGAAGGTTTTCTTCTCCTCCACCCTTTGCTTGATCTTTCTTGTGAGTGTCCAGTGGAGGTCACAGGGATATGCTGCTGGCGGTGTGTGGCTGAGTGCTTTCACTTGTCTGTACTGCATG